AGATCAGATCAGACTTGACTAGCACTGATCATTAAAAGCAGTTTGGGAGTAAAGGTGCAGCTTTGTGTCACTTTCTATCCCTGATCCTTAGTCCCATTTTGCCCATGGTCAGTGAGAAGAGTTGCCATGGAGATGGGCTGTAAGGAGGATCTGACCCCCGCAGTTTCCCCAGCTGGAGGGCGTGGCCGGGGGCGGGGCCAGGGGCGGGGCCAGGCTGGGGTGGCTTGGCGGCACAATGGCAGGAAACAGGAGAGGAGCTGGACACTTCCTGTTGGCAGAGCAGAGGCGGCTCTCACCCTCAGCATTGGCGTCCACAAACCAGCTCTGTAAAACTCACAGGATTTTTGTGAGATTTTAGAATTAAAGTTTGAAGAGAAGACTACAAAAAAATAAAAAATATCACATCTCACCTCAGTTCAAATGATATTAAAAGAATATTAAACGATCTGAGTAGTCTAAAGTACACTGTTTAACTTTTCTAATGAATTATGGTTTTTCTTTGCCTCTAATGTTCCACAGTAGAGCTGGTGTCATTACGATACATATCTCGATATATAGACTACAACATGTTACACACCTTGACACACAGTCCACGATATGATACATATCTCAATACAGTGCACTTTTTTCAAATCGATTTGTTACATTTCAATAAAAAATAAAGACTAAATCATGTCTGTGATACTAAAAATCTTTGTTAAACCACTTCTTGTGTAAAGTTCATATGAAACACAAACATTTTAATCATCAAAACAGTGAAAATGTCAAATGTGTCGAATAAACAAGTTTCCTTCCTCTGAACAAACAACAAAACTGAAGCTGGAACAAAATAAACCAAAAAATACTCGATATATTGATATATTGATACAGCAGCCCACGATATCGATACTGTATCATTACATTAAACAATATGATATTTGGATATTTCAAAATGTTTCTACATCCCTTTTCCACAGTATGACATTAAACTTTTTTGCACTTATTACATTACAGGTGCTTCTTACTGTGAGCAGGGTCGCCTCTCCACAGATCTGACCTGTAATGTGGCTTGGTAGCATCACCTGGCTGGTCCATGAAGATAGACACAACATCGCCATGGAGACAAGGAGTCTCCACTAGAAAAGTTACATATTGCCTCTTTAATCTGTGTTTGATTCGTTTGATGTTCGAAGACATTTGTGACTGGACACAACACTGTGGAATAGTCCAAATTACTGGAAGAATGTATCTATAGTGTCTCTTCTTTTTAATTTTGTTTTATTATATTATATTATATATATTATTATATTATTTTATTTATTGTTATTTTATTTAGAAAATTCACCTATAAATGATATATATTTAAATTTTTAGCTTTAGTTCAACTGATATTATTTACAGTACAGTAATTTATGAACAGCACTGTGACTGTTGCTTAGAGAAAGTCACATTTTACAGGACACAAAGACGGCTGCCTTGTATTGTTTCCCAAATCCCACATAGGTGAAAGTTACAAGCTGATGTCCTCCCTCTCCTCGCCATGGAAACCTCCCCTCACTTAAGCGCCGTCCTCTGTCTCCTCATTAAGACACTTACGTCCCGGGGAGGTCTGACCCTCGAGCTGACCCGTCTGCGGTGGGACGCTGGTGTGAAGGAGCGTCTTCCGGAGGTCCGCCCGGGCTCCACCCAGTCCCTGGGACACGTCCACTCTGCTGGGACACTCTCTGACCACACCCAGTCCTTTACCCTACACCCCTGCGCAACTCATCCAGCCAAAAACACCAGCACATACAAACAAGTATAGAGCTTGGTTACTTTAGATTTCACTGATGTTGAGAGTTCAAACTGCATTAAAGACAAGGGTATTTTACTTGTACAGGGCATTTACTGCTTACACATCACATACTTAGATCACTGTGTTCCTTCCATTGTTTTGAAAGGTGCCCAGGAGGCATCAGAACAGATGCCCGAGCTACCTCAGCTGTTCCTCTCAATGTGGGGGAGCAGCGACTCTACTCCGATCTCCTCCTGTGTGACTGAGCTCCTTACTCTATCTCTAAGGGAGCGCCCAGCCACCCTGCAGAGGAAACTCATTTGTGCCTATTGTATCAGCGATATCATCCTTTTGGTCATTACCCGGAGCTCATGACCAGAGGTGAGGGAAGGAACGGAGATTGAGAGTAAAATGAGCTCAGCTCCTCTTCACCACAACGGTCCGATACAGAGACCTCATCACTGCAGACACTGTCCTGATCCACCTGTCAATCTCATGCTCCATTCTCCTCTCACTCGTGAACAAGACCCCGAGATACTTGAACTCCTCCACTTGAGGCAGGGACTCTCCATCCACCCGGAGAGGACAAGACACCTTTTTCCAGTTGAGAACCATGGACTTGGACTTGGAAGAGCTGATCCTCATCCCAGCCACTTCACACTCAACTGCAAACCGCCCCAGTGCTGCAGGTCCTGGTTCGATGGAGCCAACAGTACAACATCATCTGTGAACAGCAGAGACGAGATCCTGTGGTCCCCAAACCGGACGCCCTCCGACCCCTGACTGCGCCTAGAAATTCTGTCCATAAATACAATGAACAGAACCGGTGACAGGGCGGCGCAGGCATGATGCGACTATCAATCGGATTCTCCTGAAATACACCTTACCAGGTTTCTCAAACGTGTGTGAATGAAACAAAACACTATTCCTGGTGTGTTTTTGAGCAGGGAACAGCAGTGTCACAAGAGTCAATCCTGCCTAATATAGGACCTTTATATTAAATTGAATAGTAAATTTAACCTCATGCTTTAGTCACATTATGTCTAGAACCTAAACATGAATAGACTTGGTGTTTTTCCAGGGCGGACTCTGCACATGACAAATGGGAAATGGGAAGTTTCCTCTCTCAGTGGAAGACTCCCTTTAATCACCAGGCAGGAGAGAGACGTGAGATCGGCTGCATTAGAAGAGTTCACAAGACTCTTTTGCTTTTGATGTGGGGTCAGATGAGTTTAAAGTGCACGTGACAGGTTAAACTACTTATAACCATTGTATTTAACATTTTGCTTATCACAGAACATTTACCCAGAACAAAGCAAGAAGCACAGCAAGAAGGTTCTGGATTCATGCAGTAATCCATCTGTCCTTCAGCTACTGGAACTTGTGACCAGTGGAAGAATGGGTCAAATGCAGATAACAACATTTCATATAGACAACAAAGTGCATACTAATCTTGATCTAATGTCTGGCCTTCACTAAACGGCAAAAACCTGTTCAAACTGTGTGTTAAAAGTGGGAGGAAATGCAGGCAGTAAACAGGGTTAGTAATGAGCCTGCACAGTTCAGGTTCAGAGTATTCTTAGAAACAGGAAGTACACATAACAGCTCCACTTCCACTGTGGTAAATAAAAGCAGGAGGGGTCTGCCGGGACTTCCCTCTCCCCAGACACCTCGGAGCTGGAAGATGGAAAGGACAGAAATCTGCTTTGTGTATCTAGAAAAAGATATATATATATATATATATATATATATATATATATATATATATATATATATATATATATATATATAGAGTATATAGAGTGGAAAAAAGAATGGCAGAGGCACTCTGATTTGCGGTGAATTTATTAAATAGTCAGGCCAACATGTTTCGAATACTCAGTCTTCATCAGGACTGATGAATATGATGTATATCCAGTTTTTCTTGGTATTATGGCTGCTGACTTCCAGTGTATTTGCTAGGGTCGATCTCAGTATTTTAAAACTGATAAACAAGACCAACGCTCCAGCTGCTGTAAAGTTCATATTTTCACTTTAGTCAAAAAATTCTTACAGCATTTATTACACATCGAGGTTCCTTGCTCTTGGCAAATTGTCACAGTTTTATATTTATCACTTTTCCACCTTCAAGGCTCAAAGCATTTTACAACAAGGAACTATTCACCTTTCACCAACGCTCTCATACACCAGTGTACGCACACACTGGGGGCGAGGGGGGTTAAGTGTCTTGCCCAAGGACCTAATGTTCCATGTTTACCCAGGACAGTCCCAGTGTTGAGCCCTGTGTCCCGTCCCAGCACATTTATACAAAATCACGAATTTGTCCCAGTTTTATACAAGAAATATCCCAGATGTCTGTATTTTTGACCAATTTGATCCTTAAAGAGAGACATACATTGCCATTTGTCCAGGTAAAATATAGAAAAGCTGCTGAAAAATGACCAAAACACAAAGAAAATTTATGATTTTTGATTTTGAAATTCTGGTCACCCTAACCCAAACCTGGACATAGTCCAGCCCCCGGACCACATATGAGCCTTGGTTGACTCTGACTGTCCCCTTTAAAATCATTTGGAATTACAGAATAAACATATTTTATCATTTGACCTCATACATGGACTAAAGCTGCATTGCTTTTATTTAAGAGGTGTTTTTTTAGGACATTTTTTGTTTGGCAGCCTCACTTTTCCAACCTCACTAGTCATAACATAAACTCTTCCCAAACAATGACATTTACTGCTTTTGATAAAGAAATACAATGAATATTATGCAGAATCAATTTCAGCATTTTGGCCTCAACAATATTTTCTGTTTCACATGGCCACATGGAAAAAGAACTGCCCACCCCTGCTCTAACCTAACAACGACATTCTGGGAGCTAGAATCACACCAGCCAACCTGTGGGTCAGTGGATCTGACCAGTCAACCAATTATGTTTATATCCAGAGCTGGATTCAAACCGCCAACCTTCAGATCACCAACAGAGTTACTGTCACTGTTTCCACACTGATACACAGACATGTCAAGATTAGATGGTTTCTCAATAACTGTGATTATTCTGATAATATTACTATAATAATAAAATATATATAATAATTATGACAATTTTAGAATCAAAATTAAGTTATTTCATTGCAATCTACAGTCCAAGAAAGTTAACCTAAATATAAGGTGTCTGTTTATAGGGATGATCCAGCTTTTTCAGTTCCAATACCGAGTCTAGTACCAACTGACACCAGTGGAGAGACTGAAAACAACATTTATTTCCTTTAACCAAAAATAAAATAAGACAAAAAACTGATCCAAATGTTGTATGTAGATGTTATTTATCTCACAAGTAAAGACAGAAAAGCTTTGAGTAAATAAACATTATGAGACTTTCTGGGCCAGTTTTCCATCTAGAGCTGATACAAATTTCCCATAACAGCCAATATCAGAATTAGCACCAGAATTTGATCCATCCCAAATAAAACTCTCCAATATCACAGTTAAACTACAGTGTCCATGCTGTTTTGGAAGATACAGTAGATTCCACTGCGGATCAGATGAGTCATGAAATAAAATCTTTTGGCAGGATGTCAAAAAGGTGATGTCAACTCGTCTGATCCACAGGCCTTCCCATCCCATTCTCCCGTGCACAACTCACTTTATTGTTAAGCATAAAGTGGGGAGACTTTGATGGATGGTTGGGTTCCTCTCGTACCTGAGTCGGCGTGGAGAGCTGGCCCAGGGCCGTCTCACACCCCCCCCTTTGTCCCACAAACAATATGAGCTCAAGTGGGAACCAGGGAGAGGGGTCATGGCGGGAAACCACACCCTGGGCTCTCTTCTGCCATATGTCTCCAGGAGGAAGAGCGGGCGGCAGCGGCGTCTACAGGCTCAACCCCTGGAATTCCAGAGGTGTTTGTGACTTGGTTCGTTTATTTACAGAGGTTTGGCTCCTCACTTGAACAGTACAGAGATATTCTTTTACACGCACTGAAATTCATGTCTTAAATCCTACAAGAAAAAATATTAATATATGCACATATTTCTATATTTTTACATGCAGTATGTGACAAGAGCCTCTCTGCCTCACATTCTCCTGGTCATATCCCAGTCATAAAAATAAAATGTTAAAGAGAATTAAACAAAAACTAAAATATTCTTATCTTTCCACGCTCCATTGACATGAGCTGAGACCAGCAGCTCTTCAGCAGGCGCATGACCAGCATCAAACATCAGTCACATTACATGAAATATACATGTATTTACAGTATTCTAAAACAAGCTTCGCTTTGTTTTTGTTAAGCACAGTTGAGCACAAAAAGTGCAAAAAAAAGTGTCAGACAGACATACCTCATGATGAGATGTGCAAACGGCTTGAGTTCCAGCTTTGGTCTTCTGTCTTTGCAAAGTTTAAAGACAGTTCTTAAAAAATGTCCAGGTAATCCATAAATTTGCTTGTAGTTCTTGGAAACATTCCAATCGGCCACTCAGTGCTCTTATAAAGAAAGCATTTCTGAAAATCTTGATTTGAGAAGTTTAGCTTAATTCTACTTATTTAGGTATAACCTGGGGTGACCAGGTTTTCAAAGTCAAAAACAGGGACATCCCTGGTGTATGGTGGTTGGTAATAATAAAATTGTGAAACGAGTGAGTAATTAAGGAAAATTGTCCTGTCCATTAAAGTGAGTCAGTATAGTCACATTTTCTTTGTGTTTTTGTCGTTTTTAAGCAGCTTTTAAGCAGCTGTATTTTACCCAAACAAATGGCAGTTTATGTTTCTCTTTTCTGTTGGCAGGGATCAAATTGGTCAAAATAGGGACATGTGGGACATTTCTTGTATAAAACTGGGGCAAATCTGTGGTTTTGTATAAATGTGCTAAGACAGAGGACACAGGCTCAAAACTGGGACTGTCCCGGGTCAACAGGGACGTCTGCTCATCCTAGTCTAGTCTATTCAATTTAATCTTTCTGCACATTCTCCCTTCAAATATACTTGGATTTCACAGTAATTAAAAACTAGGATTGTTTTCATAACAATTAACAATTGAAAAAAAAAATCATATGTTATGAAAGGTGGGAAGTTCTTAAAATGTCCTCAATAACAGGAAGCTGCATAGACTAAACTAATCAATGTATCTGTCTTCAGTCTATTTCCTCAAGTCAAATATTCTAGGCCCAGTTAATGAATAAATTAATTGTATCTAAAACTACTCAAATCAAGATTAATATTATAAATCCATGTCCATTTCAACTGTACATTTTCTCTTTTGCAGTGTCCAGACCAGTGCCACAGAACTCCTTGAATTAATGAATTCCACAAAAGTCTGTTGAAGCTTCCAGATCACAGTTTTTCCAGGTGGTTTTCCAGGTTGTTCTTGGTTGTTCGTCACACAAAAGGGCTGTCGGACCTGAAGATATCCGAGTAGCTTTTGGAGTGGATGGTCTCTGTGTGGCTCTCGATGCTATAACAACGGTGCACCTCGGTCAGGGACGAGGCCACGTACGACGCAGATCTGAAGAAGTCTGCGTTGGCGAAAGTCCCGGCTAACTGCATCCTCTGCTGGTTCCAGTGTCTCCGCAGGACGTTCTGGACCTGAGGACACAGTGGGAACATGTCAACAAGTTCTTACAATAGAACAGGAATGATGGCAGCCTGAAGATCTCACCTCTCCATTGAAGAAGCAGAAGATTGTGGAGACTAGTAGACCCTAAAATGGAACAAGAAAATCATCAATGCTTCAACATGATTTTATTTTCAGTTGTTTATCCAAAGATTCAGAGTTGAAAAATGATTCAAACTGTTCATTAATGTAATATTTAGTAATTTTCCAGTGTCCCTGAGCAGTGCTGGGCACCTTACTTTGAAAAACTAATTACCCTATTTTACGGGCTATTAGTCGAACTGTTAAGCCTCCAACCCCATCAAAAAACTATTAAGCCAGAGCACCCTATACACGAATCCACTCGGGTGTCCCAGCACAACTTCAGTAAACTACAAAGTCACACCACCCACAGAACACACAAACACACACAGAGCAGACAGCGACCGCACAGAGAAACACACCCACAGACACACTCATCACTCCACGCTGACGAGGAACGGAACGGAGGAACGAACCGAAAAAACGAGTGCAATGTGCCACTTCTAGACACAACTGAACAACTGTGAACACGCCGACAATCCCTTGGTCCCAGACAGCACCCTCCCTACACGCCACAACTGAACAAAGCCCAGAGTCACCGTGAACGAACAAACAAACAAAACCACTCACCCATCACACTGTTGTGTTTCCTTTAAAGTCCCATGTGGTTTATTTGTGAAAAAAGTTCAAAAATAGACCATTTAATGACAGTGCGCCTTTTAATCCAGAGCACCTAATAGCCCAGAAAATATGGTAGTTATAGTTAGTAGTATAGTATAATATAACTAGAAAAGCACTCAGAGCGCAGACCTCCGCCAAGGACTACAGTCCCCCTCATATTAATTGTGTTTTCCATAAATATTTGTCTCGTATCTTTCAATTTGGAATATGAAAGAGGATCCCATTGTCCATCCCTGAGTCAAATTTCATGGGGTTTGGTCAATAATTAACCGAGATATTGAGAAACAAAAGCTTTGGCCCCATTTACCACAATGTTAACTAAAATTTCAAAGTGATCCAGAATCCAGGATTTCTTCTGGATCACCCCCAAAATGAAATCAGTTCTTCTTTTTCACATTTCCAACAAATCCTGAAAATTTCATCAACTTTTTGAGTTATGTTGCTAACAGACAAACAAACAAACAAACAAACAAACAAACAAACAAACGCCGGCAAAAACATAACCTCCTTGACGGAGATAATAAATATAATATAACATAGTATAATATAAAAGTAACTAGTTACCAGGAAAAGTAAATATTGTGTTACTTTTTTCTTTTTTTGAAGTTTAAAAATGTGACGTAGCTCACGTTAACAGCGTCTGGTCTGTTATCATCACCAGTGTCAGCAATGATTTTGGCTGCTTATTTATCAGAAACATGTGGCATGGAGAGGTGCTTCATTAAACTGGAGTTGTTTACACCGGACGTGGACAAACTCTTTGCTCTGGGACATAATGTACACTCTACATGTACATTTGACCTTTTACCTGGATCAAGTTAAAGTCGTGTTTGTATTTCCACCTTGAAAACGCCGTCTTTCCCTGTGACTCCGAACTCACTGTCTCTGATAGTTTGTGTGTGCGTGTGTGTGTGTGTGCTGCTATGTGCTGGGTTTGTCTGTGGTTGGCTCAAACTTAAATCACTTTACCTTAGCCAATCATCATTACTCAGGCAGTTATCTCATCCTCCCTTCACCAGGAAGGAAACACACACATTTGTAGCTGTGTGCTGTGTGTTCTTGGTAACGGTAACAGTGAGGTAACAATAGAAAATGTAACGATTACCCGTTACTGAAAAGAGTACCCATTACTGACCAAACTTCCAAAACCTCTAGTGTTAGACAGACATTTTGTTAAAAATATTGTGAGTAAGTTGATAATGTTTTGGTGGAGGGTGTGCCACACATTTTAAACAACTCAAAAAGAGTTGAAAAACACTTGCATAGATACTTTTCAGATTTGAGTCAGAATCCTGGTTAAGGTGGATCATTTCTAAGCAGCCTTGATGAAGAAGTTAAACTCTATTAAAACTAGTTCTCAAGTCATTTTTGTAAGATGTCAATGGGCAAAACAGTCCCTAAGATGCAAGTTATTTTTTAGAGGTAGACCTGTTGCATTTCACAAAAAAGATTCAAGTTTGGAAAACACTGACTCTGAACCTCTGCTCCTCGCTGGTCTGAGGCTTTTAGCTGAAAGATCTAGAATTTAAAAGAAGCTTTGTTCCAGCTGCTATCGTACTGATGAATAAAATGTAATCTTTTTTTCTACTGATTTAATCCTTTATCGTTTTTTTATATATATATTTAATATTTATGTATTGTTTATTGTGATTTTTCGCCAAAAAGCCGTGATGAATGAATGAATTATTTAAGGAACAAACGTTGTAACACTTTATTTGTATTTGTGTTTTTATACATGTATAACGTGTTTTAATGTGTATAATGGATGAATGAAATGTGAAATGTGGGACCAGCCTCTCAAATCTGCAAAACAAATTTATCTACGGATACAAATAAAGTGACCTAATCTATCCAAACCTAACCAATAACAGTAATCACACCAGCACAAAACAAACACTGACTTCTTATCACTTGTGGTAGACTGATGTTTTACCAATGATTAAACCAAATTCTCCTGAAGTTTGTGGTGCAGTGACTCTATGATCTGTATACTGCCCAGAGGGGGTGCTCTGACCTGGTAGTGCATGAGGACCTCCATGACGTAGAGGTAGACTTCGGCCATGTGCTGCTCCTGGGGCTTGTAGGGCAGCAGCACGTACTGGATGCCCAGCAGAGGGATGAGGATCAGCGTGGCCCTCACTGCCCTCATATACAGGCTGGACTCGGCCTGGTGGGTCACCCGCAGCTTTGTGATCAGCACCCGCACGATGTTTAGCAGGAAGAACAAGTTCACCTGAAGAAACCATCATCTATTAAATATTGCTTCATTTAACATGGATAATATTATTATATATTATTATTGTTATATATTATATTATTATAAGATAAACACCAGGAGCTAAACAATGGAACTTCTTCTGACAAGTGAAAGACTAGAGCTGTTAAAATGAACATGAATTGATACTTTGCAGTAACATCACACTGGGGGTGTTCTGCATGTATGTCTATGGCAGAATGTCCAGCAGTTACCATGATGACACAATGCCCACATTAACAAACACAGACTGATAAGATCATCAAGAAAAAAGTACAAAATGGATATAAACTACACAAAAAGATGAGAGAGACTCAGCAAAACACACAAACACACAAAAAGTGTTATTTTAACTTTCTGAAAGTTAAATGGGAGTTTCCCTAGTGTTCATTCCACTTCAGTTTGGCTCCTCCCACCACCACTTCAAACTCCCACGAGAGAAGACCATTTTGAACCAGTTTTGTTCATAATTTCATTTTAAATGAACTAAAATAAAGTGTAACAATTAAACACCTCTGTGGGTTGTTTAGCTAAATCAGGATAACCCTACAAAGTGTTATCTGTTTACTCTCAAAATGTTCAAATAACTCTTGATTTCGGGTTAAACAGGAACTTAGGTCGTGTTAATGAACATTTCCAAAAATGTTAAATTAACTCTAGAACAGACTGGACTCATATAAACCCTGAGAAAATGTTCAAATTGACTCTGTGAGAGTCAATTTGAACACTTCACTTTTTGCTGTGAACAAACTTGTGGCTGTAATTCTCTGTGTGAGACATTTGTTTAAGAACATAAAACATCTCGCCTGTTGTGGTTCCACCTCAATCATTTCCTTCTGGTCAGTTTATTTTAAAATAAAGCTCAGATTAAAGTCTATCTTGAGTAATGGAGCTTCAGACAAAGCAGTGCCTGTGCATCACATCCCACAGAAATGTTGGCCTCAGCTGCAAAGTATTAATATATAAAATAGCCACAGATTATATAACATTTTTCAGAAACTATATTTATGTAGTTGGGGTCAGAAAGGAGGATAGTAATAATGTTTCCTTCTTCTGCCACAGAAGGTTTTGTTTAGTCATAAGCGCCTACGTGTTCTACTCCCCTGTGCACCTTCACGTAGAATCGTATCTAACATCTACTGTGATGATTATTTATGATCTGAATGTATGTTGTCTGTAAACCCTGACCTCCCATTGTACCGCCGGACAATAGACTTATGGTCCCGAGCCAAAATATTTCTCCCCAGTGAAAAACACATATTGAGCTGTTAACTGGAACTCACCACCAGAGCCGCACAGATGGGTCCGTGGATAATGTACAGTAATGACGTGTGTGAGCTGACCCAGCATCTGTCAATCAAAACAAATCAATGAATGAATAATTAAATACATGCACTGACAAATAATAGTGATGTAAACGTACTTGTCGTTGTAGTAGCATTGGCGTGCTATGGAGTGTATCACCGCGGGAATGAGAGGGAATCCTGCACACAAACACAGAACGCCAGATTTAAAAGCAGCCTTATGTTTAACGAAGCTGCTCTGTCACTGTCACTGATGAGTACTGTAGTTTTCAGACGATAAGGGCGCACTGGATTATAAGACACAATATCAATAATGTTGAATTCTCTTGTCTATTTTGGCAAAACAAACGGACGACACTTGAGACGATCCACGATCCATTGGCAGATTGTGGTGTAATTCGCCCGGCGCTGTCTCTCTGTCTTGGTGAAGGTGGATTATAAATGCGAATGTGGGTGGATCATTACCTCCGCCAAGGAGGTTATGTTTTTGCCGGCGTTTGTCTGTTTGTCTGTTTGTTTGTTTGTTTGTTTGTCTGTTAGCAACATAACTCAAAAAGTTATGGACCGATTTTCATGAAATTTTCAGGATTTGTTGGAAATGTGAAAAGGAAGAACAGATTTCATTTTGGGGGTGATCCGGAAGAAATCCTGGATTCTGGATCACTTTGAAATTTTAGTTAACATTGTGGTAAATGGGGCCAAAAATTTTGTTTCTCAATATCTCGGTTAATTATTGACCAAACCCCATGAAATTTGACTCAGGGATGGACAATGGGATCCTTTTTCATATTCCAAATTGAAAGATACGAGACAAATATTTATGGAAAACACAATTAATATGAGGGGGACTGTAGTCCTTGGCGGAGGTCTGTGCTCTCTGAGTGCTTTTCTAGTTTAAGTTTGTTTTTTTTATTTCCTTCAAGGAGAACTCATATATAAACTGAGTAATAATGTGTTTAATGCAGCTTTGCCACATTTGTTTATGTGTAATAGAAACAAAACTTAAAATCACAGGGGTAATTTGCATAAACTATAAGCGCTGAAAAAAACAAACAGCTTGCTCCTTGTGCGCTGATGCGGTTCAGCTTCTGTCGGACTTAATCCACAAGGCTCCTGACTGCAGTAGCCATAATACTCTGACAATCCATCAAGCGGTGCAGCTTGTAGTTTACCAAAGTCGTATTAAAACATTTTGACAATTTTTTGAGAGCCGTGTACCACATAAAATCGGTTTGAGGTCAGTAAGCACAACCAGAATTAATACATACAGATCACTGTCGATTTTTGAGAAAATTAAAGGATTTTAAGAGAGCCTTATAGTCCAAAAAAACGAGTATTTCAGTAGTTGTCTAGTTAGTAGCAGTGGACAGATGATCAAAACTTCAGTAATATGGTGAATGTTGATCTGAAAATATGATACATTTGAATATTGAATATATTATTATTAAGGCTGAGTCTTATTAAGAAGTTGCTGATATGATACATATCATACAGTGAGCTTTAGATTCGATACAATATATTTCAAATTGATTTGATACAGTTCAATAAAAAAATAAAGGCTAAATCATGTCGGTGATACTAAGTCACTTCTTGTGCAAAGTTCACAAACACAAACATTTTAATCTTCAAAACAGTAAAAATGTCAAATGTGTCGCATAAATAAGTTTCCTTCCTCTGAACAAACAAGAAAACTGTGGCTCTGTAACCAAATAATTGAGTAAAATATACCAAAAAATACTCTTGGTGATATATCGATACAGCAGCCCACAATATCGATACTGTATCATCACATTAAATTATACAATATATTGATATTTCAATATTTTGTACCTATTTATGTAAAAATGCTGATTACAATTAATATAAAAAAAAACAAAACAAAAACAAGGATATAAAGTGCTATAAGTCTGAATATTGTTATTCGGATACTCAGAATAAATTGTTATCAATACTGTGTACTGGATCAAAGTCAAAAGAAAGATTTAGACTATTTTTCATCTCATTCACAATATGCATATTTTCTTATTTAAAAAAAAAAAGTTTTGATTGTTTTACTGAGTTACAATTAATTTAAATAACTGACTTGTAGTCCTACTTTCATCAGTCCCATCCTCACTAAAACCATAAAATGACATTCTGTGCAGCAATCCTCCAGTTTATCACTGCAGCAGTGAAACCATCAACCCCCTCATCCTCTCCATGCTCCAGCTTCTTCACTGCAATAACACCATCAGTTATCATGGAACCTACATCTCCTCCTCTCCAGTATTACCACCACAGCAGCAGGAAAACACCCCACTCCTCTTCCCCACGGCTGTCTCCATGGCGACCCTGAGCCCCTCCACACCTCCCTCTAGTGCCTCCGTCTGTGTAACCTCTCCCTGGCTGAAGTGTAGGTGTTGTGTTATCAGTCGTACCCCAGCCCAGGAGGTAGTACCACACCAGGTGCTGCTTCTCTGCAAACACGGCCACCACAATAAGCGTGTGCAGGTAGATGCCCTCACACAGCATCCAGAAGTAGTTACAGCTCAGGAGGTACAGGTGGATAAACATCAGCAGCTTACAGCTCACCTGAAAAAATACAGACCAGTATTAAATATGTAGGGATCAAATGGATGAAATTTAACATTCTAAAAGACAGAGTGCATTGCCGACTTCATTAAAGATACACTGTGTAACTTTTCTGGTGGAGAGTAATCTACTCTCCATGGAGAAAAGCAGGTGGCTCTACCAGGTCAGGGTACAGTACAGATCTGTGGAGAGGCGACCCGTCTTACAGGAACAATGTATTCTCTGTAATAAAATAAATACCTACCACTGGAAAGGTTCTGTAGTGTACCTTTAATTTGGTGACTGAACAAAAAAGACACATTTCTAATTTTGAAAGTACATAATATCATCAGAATGTTTGTGTCAGATGCCCTTTCAGTCACAACAACCAACATGACCAAGGCAGGGGACCGTGCCTTGTCCCATACGCGACATGAACCAGAACTAAAACAGGTCTAAAACAGGTCTAAAACCAGGACTAAAACCAGAACTAAACAGGTCTAAAACCAGGTCTAAACCAGAACTAAACCAGGACTAAAACCAGGTCTAAAATCAGGATTAAACCAGGACTAAACCAGAACTAAAACAGGTCTAAAACCAGGTCTAAACCAGAACTAAAACAGGTCTAAAACCAGGACTAAAACCAGGATTAAACCAGGGCTAAACCAGAACTAAAACAGGTCTAAAACAGGTTTAAAACCAGGACTGAACCAGGACTAAAACAGGTCTAAAACTAGAAAGACTAACTGCACCTCCTCCCATACACTGTGAAATATTGTCAGATATAAAACTGGTCCGTGGCACAAAAAGAAGTTGGGAACCACTGTGTAAAGGGACAGAGTGATAGTATAATCTTAAATGAGGTTTGAACTGGTAACCTTCCTGTTTATGGGCAAATGCTTAACCTCCTCTGCCACTGTTGCCCCATCAGAAGAATGAATATGTCATTATGTCAAATTAATATAACAAATATTAGACTGTGCAGACGTCAGCGTTTTAGCCTCTGCATTCAGAACACTACAGAATCAAAGACATGGTCAAAGTGTTTTGCTCAATGAAACAACAAACAGCATTGAACCAGCAGTCTACTACAGCCATTTAAGAATAGAGTCGTACCGAATCACTGTGTCCCTCGTTCTTGGCTAAAGTGGTGAGCTGAACCACAGTGATGATGGAGTTGAGCACACATGAGATGAACAGGTTTTTGTGCAGCGTTATCCTCTGACAGCTCAAACTCCTGAAAACACACAATGTGACTTTCAGTTTCCATGGCAACGTCTTCCTGTAAAGTTGTCCAACGTGGAACTTACTTGAAATGGAAGAATATTGCCAGCGATATGAGCAGGGATATGAGGGAGAGGCCGTGTCCGATCATCACCAGATAGAAGTGTGTCATCGCTGCCTGGAAACAAATGTTGGTTTATCAATAATCAGGAAGAAAGATTGTATTTCCCCGATGTTCCCAATCAGTGGTGGCTGGTGGTATATTTTTTGGGGGGGACGCCAAGGCCAAAATTTTAAATATATATTATTAATATATGTATAATATATAGGTTATATAGTATTATAACAAAACAGAAACAGACAGTCATTTTGGTCACTACTGGCTGAACTATCAACACACAACGCACAGCCAAGCGCAGTTTTACGCAAGGTTACCCAACTTTATGCAGCAGCACAACCTGATCCACCGCTCACAACCAGCCCCGGCAACACAACGTAACACGGCGCTCACACCCAGCCCCAACAACGTCAGCAAAACTACAATAAGAGGCTACGATCACAACATGAACACTGCTCCTACAGCACACGACAGAACAACCGGAGCAGCTCCACCGCACTCAGCAGCTCATTTACGCACTATTTAACTTTTACACTATAACACTATTTACCTGTGAGGCTCCGTCATCAGATTTGCCCCAAACTAATGAAAACAAGCCTCTTATCTTCTCCAGAGACTGAAGCAGAGTGTTTCCTTTATCCACTGTCCCACTGGTTCTGTCTCCAAAAGTGTATTGTCCACTACAAAGAGATAAAACTGGTCCAAATCCTGGTCCAGTCAGGTCCGTAACGCGAAGTCTGGGAGCCGAGTGCACAAACTGATTGTAAAATTGTCTTAATCTCACTTCCCACTTAAATTTGAAAGTTACACCAGTCCATATTAGCATCAAGACACCAGGTGGACTTAAGCGCAACGCGCTACGCCCAGTGACACTTATACACCGAGAAACAAGTTCAGTCGTGGATTAGTCCTCCTCTTCAGTCCTGGAATCAGTCCTGGGTTAGTCCTGGTTTAGTCTTGGTTCAGTCCGTGGCGTAGGCAGCGCAAAAGTTTGATATTATCTCGGGTTAACGGGCAGGTGCGGTCCTGTACTGCGCGGTTGCATTGTTGTACTACGCGGGTGTGGTGTTGTACTGGGGGTCTCCAAAAATGGACCAGTGCGGGACTCAGCGCTGTTGGGCTCCATTATGGAATAAATGAATCTTCAGTTTGTTACATAAAGGAGGAAAATAACAAAAGGACGACAGCTGCATCAAGTTTTAAGAAGGAAGTAAAAAGGGTTGCACCTGTCTTGTCTGAGAAAAGTGTATAAAGTTTGTGCTGAGGGGTTTTACAGCCTTAACACAGATAGAATAATTGTAAAATATAAAGTTGACTACTTCGTGGATTTCACCTGTCGCAGGTTATTTTTTAGAACATAACCCCCACGATAAACGAGGGACACTGTACTCTCACTCACAACCTGTGCACATGGACTCACACTTGTCCCGACCGGGACAGAAAACAGAGAATTTCTTGTCAATGTTAAATGCGCATTTGTGCTTCGGTATGTTGCAGACTGACCGACTGTTTGTGTCTCGCTCCTTCTTAGTCACAGACGCTACGAGAGACGCTCAGTTTAATGCCCCCAATGAACGGTACTGAAAACCCGGACATTTTATAAACAAAAAACAAAAAACAAAAAAACGGACGCCCCGGACAGGACGCAAAATACGGACGTTTGGTCACCCTACCATAAGTGTACAACACACAGTTCTGTTGTTGTCATCATTAGCGCCTGTAGCAGTAACATGTGTCAGTGCAGAGTCGGGGCTGAGTGACAGAGCAGCTGAACCACAACAGGTCAACATGTGTGTTCATGTTTAATCAGAACAATCAGTTGATTTCATGTCGCTCCGACCCTGCGCCCCAAACACGGATTTTAGCGCTAATATAAAGTCATGGGCACAAGCGACGTCATGACGTCACATTTTCTCAAAACTTCAGGCTCTTATAGAAACGTCCATTAGGTCGCTCCGACTCACCGCACTCAAATTCCAAACACATGACTCAAATAAAGTGATATGAGCACATTTAACATGATAAAAATATGTCTATGCAGATACATTTTCAATTTTAAACAAAATATTAAACATATAGCCTAATACAAAATAACGACTTTTTTTTTTTCTTTTTTCTTTTATCTAGGTCAAGTTAGGGAGTGCGGCGCTCTTGCTCCCAATGAAGGAGACCACCACACTCCGTATATCATTCGTTCATTCGTTTTTCAATATAAAATCAAAAATAAGAAAATGAAAAAACATCAGTTTTCTTCATTATTTGTCTCCAAAACCAAAATGAAAAAATGGATAACGATTCATTTTTTCAGTTTTTGATTTGTGTTTAAGTGAAGAATGGAAAAAACGGATAACGACTGTTTCCCATTTACATATTCGTTACGTTCAGTCCGTATACAGTGCAAAAGTTCACACAGCCACGGGAGTCACGTATATGGCCTTTATCCGTTTTTTGTCTTTATCTGTTTGTTTTTTTTTTCGTTTTCTTATTTTTGGTTTTATATTGAAAAACTAATGAACGAATGATACACGGATTCGCCACAAACAGGAGAAAAAGAGGAGTTTAATATGTTAGAGCATGAAGAAACATAGTGATAGGTGTCTCATTTGACTCTTGGTGAGGCCGGAGGCTTTTCTTTCGTCTCCTGCCCCTTATCTTCACTGCTTTGCTTCTTTGTCTCGTCTAGTCTAATGTCTAGTGTCTTATACCAAGAGACTCTCTCCACTCTACTCTCCAAAACCAAATTCACATGGAAACTAGACGCAGCTACTTGCTCTAAAACCCAACAGCCCAGTCTTATCGTTTGGTGTCCCCAAGCCAGCACTTATGACTAAGATCAGTTTGGAGTCACATCACCCAGAGATCACAGCAGAGAGTCTGACCCCCCCCTGAACCCCTCGCAGCTTCACACCCCCGTGCACCCACACCCCTCCCTCACCCTGTTGCTAGTCCTGTGAAATAGGCTCTATTCACGCTTACGTCACCAAACAGGAAGACGATTGGAAACATGCAATGACAACTTCTAGTGTAGTTCCTGACACTGGACTGTCTCCATGGCATTTACTGGAGTAAATGTGCTCAGTGGTAAAATGAAAACTGCAGACGTATGTACTGTTTGGAATCATCTGGAATTTGTCGCCTCATCTCTTCTAATCACATGTACCAGTGCACTCAGAGTTCTGTGTCAGTGGAGAAATGATGAAAACTTAGTTATGTTTGGAACTGTTGATGAGACAAACATAACGGAACACTACAATGACATGGACATGAAGAAAACTGGAACATTTTCTCATTTTTCCTAGAACAAATCCCGCCAGAAGTTGTAATTGCATCTTTCTGAATATTTGTGAGGTAAGTGTGAATAGGGTGTTTGTTCGTACTGTGTTTTCACTGTGCTGATGTCGTGGGGGTGTTTTTATTGTGTACCATACTATGCCCTGATAGGAGCATTGTCTGAGGCTGTTCTCTTTTCCTCCTCCCCACTATCCTCACGTTATGCTGCAGTGTTTATTCCTGTCTGCTCCCTGTCTCCTGGTCCAGTCCACGTAGTCTTCCCCATGCAGTATTGTATTGTATTATGTGTGTGTAATGTACGGACGGGGGACAGGTCCAATTTCAAGTCCTTTGTATGTATGTGTACATGTATGTGTACATGTGAAGAAATGGACAAATAAAGGCAATAATTCGTTCATTCATTCAAGAGTACACACATTTCTTTTGCAAAATGCTTTCGATGTTCAGTTCACTTTTTTGTGCACGCAGCATCAATGAAAAAAGTGGGACAGTCAATCACAGCCTGTTACCTTTGCTCCTCAACCAATCACATCTAAGCCCGGTCATAATGCACTATTTCTTGCTTCTACTTCCTGATGTTAGAGCTGCTACTTATCTATCCACAGACTGTCCAAAGAAGTGGACCAAGGGAGAGTGACGTCAGTGAGCCAGTTCCATTTTAGAAATAGGAATTGATTTACGGTAGGGTGAGCAGACGTCACTATTTAACCAGGACAGGCCCAGTTTTGAGCCTGTGTCCCCTGTCCCAGCATATTTATACAAACCCACTCATTTGGCCCAGTTTTATACAAGAAATGTCTCAAGTGTCCATATTTTGGACCAATCTGATCCCTGCCAACAGTAAAGAGAGACATAAACTGTCATTTGTTTAGGTAAAATACAGAAAAGCTGTGTATAAAAATGACCACAACACAAAGAAAATGTGACTACACTGGTTCATGTTAGTCATACTCCCACTCCCAGTTTTTGATTTGGAAAGTCTGGTTACCCTATTAACATTTTAAGACCAAAATGAGGACAGTGACAGTTACAGAGAGATGGGCGTCGTTTTCTCAATAATAAGTGAACTGGAGCCCCATGTCAATGGAACCAGAAGCTCACCCATGCTCACTGCCTATTTAAAACGCGGTGGATAGCAGGTTAGCTATGTATATATATATATACTTCATATGTACAGTTTGTAGAGCCATCAGCCTTCTCAGCCTCTTCCTCTCCTCCTCTTCACTTCCACTCGCTCTGTCCTTACCTCCTGGAGCTTGGCCCGGCCCTCCATGTGTGCTGGGTTGGCTTTGCAGTTGGTGAAGTTGGTCCAGGTGCGGTTACTCAAAGGATGGCGCCCCCACTGGCCGGTCTCTGAGCACACTTTGGTGGCTATGGCTGTGGATGTTACATGGATGTTTAGCCATATTAAAGTGTATTGTTAATAAAAAATTATGTAAAAAACAAAAAACAAAAGAACAAGCCAACAAAATGCCAAATGCTTAATGCCCTTAAGCTACAGTGGAAATGGGTTACCACTTGATAAAAGTACTCCTTAATTCATCTTAATAAAGTATGAAGAGTGACATTTTCATAATGAACAAATAGTTTATTAAGAAGGAGTGTTATATATGTTATATATGTTATATATGTTAGAGCAGACATATCAAAGCTTTTTTATTGAGGGTCACATATTTCAATTTATATGGAGCAAAGGGAGACTACATTCCACTACAGGACAATGGAGGGAGTCAAACTGTTACACTTGATTATTTTAGTTATTTTGACTTGTCAAAACTTTTATTAAGCCTTTGAACATTCATGTTAAATCTGTATCACATCTAAATGTTTTTTTATTTAAGTTATTATAGCACAACCTCTCAAGAAATGCAGTAAAAAGTAATGCAGAGCACAAAGTGGAGTGTTCAAATTAACTCTCAAAGAATCTATTTGAACATTTTCTCAGGGTTTATATGAGTCCAATCTGTTCTAGAGTTAATTTAACATTTTTGGAAATGATCATTAAGTAACACTGGACAAAAGTTCCTGTTTAACCTGAAATCAAGAATTATATTAGTGTTTTGAGAGTCAACAGATAACACTTTGTAGAGTTATCCTGATTTAGCTAAACAACCCACAGAGGTGTTTTATTTTTACACTTTATTTGAGTTCATTTAAGATAAAATTCAGAACAAAACTGGTTCAAACTGGTCTACTCTCACAGGAGTTTGAAGTGGTGGTGGGAGGAGCCAAATTAACACTAAGGGAAGTTGAATTAACTTCAACCATATCAACTCTGGCAAATAACCCAAACTCCAACCCCCATTTAACTTTCAAATAGTTTAAATTTTAAAAAAAAATGTATGTGTGTTTTACCCTGACATTTTAACCCTACAGTTTTTCTGTGTACTTTTGGTCACTTGAGGGCCAACAAAAAATGGTCTGAGGGCCGCATTTGGTACCCAGGCCATAGTTTAGACATTTTTATTTTAGGGTGTTAATAAGCAGTTACTAAGTCTGAATTATTCTTAAACTATGTATTCATTATGAATAAAGTTTTGTTCAACTGATGATTCCATCTTTTTACTGGTGGCCATAAGGTTCAAAAATATCAATCAAATTCTTTCTTCAAACTTCATTATCCAATCAACAGAAACACTATAACACACACGCACACACACACGCACACACACAAACACACACACACACAAACACACGCACACATACACACACGCACACACACACAAACACACACACACGCGCGCACACACACAAACACACACGCGCGCACACAACAATAGACAACCAAACTATCCTACCATTGGGGTCAAAGTCCTCGTAGTAGTCTGGACAGTTCTGCTCTGCGGTCTTTCCCGCCTCGGTCTCCTCCCAGCACAGCCACGCGTCCCACGTCATGTTACACACTGGACCTGACAGACACAGCTGAGGCTCAAATAATGTGTAAAAAAAACCTTTGTGTTGTGTGTTTGTGTGTGTACCGGTGGTTTTGTTTCTGTGCTGGACCTGCTTGAGCATGCGCTGGAAACACTGGTACTGCGCTGTGGCGATGTTGTGTCTCGTCAGTTTGTGCTCCCCTCTATGGTTGAGCTGCTCTTTCTCCAAGCTGCCCACCACCACACACTGCAAGAGACACACACACAAAGGACCTCTAGATACTGTCACTGAACTAGTGTTGTCTACTAACATTTCAAATTTGATTTAGGAATGGAAGGAGAGAGTAGACTCGATACTCAATACCAATTCGATACATCTTTATGTACTAACAAAATAATGTCATTTTCAGCATGAATAGTACTTTCTCTTCTATTCCCAGGTGGTTTTATATGTGTGTAATCTCTTAGTGTTGCTCTGATACCACTCCAGATCATTCTAGAGACAGTCAGGAAAGGTTCACTTCTATCTTGTCAATGGGAATTTTTTGTATCGATACCTGCTCAAATGAGTATTTAGTTTCCATACTAGTGTAACTATCAATTAATATCAGATTTTTTATACTTCTGACAACTCTGCTTTGAACACACAAACAGTATAAAAAAAATCATTATCATAAATAAAAGCATTTATTTGAGCAAAACCATTTGTTTTGCAAAACCATTTGTTACTTTCAACAGGGCTGTCTCAGGACCCACTACTTGAAAATGATTTTTTTTCTCTCTCTCTCTTTTCAATATCAGAAATAGCCAGACTTAAGAGAAGTGTGTGTCTAAGAACGAAGATTTACCTTATTACAAGAGCATAGGACCAGCAGAATTATTGTGAAGCTTCTCATCTCCATCTCTTTGTTCTGAAGAGAGAAAGACAGATTGTTAGAAAGAACCTGACCACAGACCACAGAGTTATTTATATTCCCATTCAGGACACAGTGACAGTATGAGGCTGTTATTAGTGACTCAATGACTAAAAGTCTGTTTAATGCCACAGTTTGTTCAATCTCATTCTTGGTAAATGGTCACATTTTTATACAACACTTTTCCACCTTTAAAGCTCAAAGCGCTTTACAACAACTTTACTTTACTCACCCATCCACACACACACACACACACACCAGTGTACACAGACTCTGGGCTGAGGTGGGCTAAGTGTCTTGCCCAAAGACACAACAACAGCATTCATCTGTGGAGCTAGAATCACACCACCAACCTGTGGATCAGTGGATCTGACGCTCAACCAATGATGTTTATGTGGAGAGTGGGATTCACAAAGGTGGGACCAAGTCATTGTTCTGCAAGTCTCAAATAAGTCTCAAGTCTTTGACCTCAAGTCTGAGTCAAGTCCCAAGTCAAATTCAAGAAAGTCCAAGTCGAGTCTCGAGTCATTGGCCCATAAGTCCAAGTCAAGTCCAAGTCGTCTGCTTTGAGCTGGAATTCATTTCAAGTTTTTAAACCAAAGTACCAAATCTAGCTTTGGTTGTTGCAATTTATATGAAATTTAAACTAAACTGTTTTTAAAAAGTCATGGAATATTTATATATGAGTATTTATATAAGAGTTGTAGAAATGCTAATTTTCTTTTTTAAATATCTTGACAAGATCTTAGTGTGAATCATTACAGTCAGAACTGAAAGAATTCAGATTTAAAAGTGCTGAATAACAGTTTGTTGTGTAGTCTGCACTGAAATGGAAGGATTATGTTCTTTGTAGTTTCCTCTGTTTTACTGTATTATACTGTATTGTACTGTATATTAGTGTTTGTAGTACTCGAGACCAGTCTTGGTCTTGAGACGGGCCTCAAGACTGTGTTTTTGTGGTCTTGGTCTCGTCTCGGACTCAACCACGTTTGGACTCAGTCTTATCTCGATCTTGAAGAAGCTTGGACTCAGTTTTGTCTCGGTCTCGAGGTCTGACACTCGACGAGTGATAAAATGGAGATAGATTTATGAAAAACATTGATTTATATGTGCCAAAATAACAAATAAATATCAAAAATTACAAAGATGGCCTCAATTTGGTCTCGATGATCCATGGTCTTAGTTTTGTCTCTGTCTCGGCCTTTAAAAGTCTTGGTCTTGTCCTGGTCTCGGGACCCTGTGGTCTTGAACAGGTCTTGGTCTCGATTGGTGTGGACTTGACTACAACACTACTGTATATTACTGTATATTATTGTATATAACTGTATATTATTGTATATAACTGTAGTACATTTGAGGATACTACATCACAGTACTTCAGTTCCATCCAAAGTACCAAACAGAAGTGGGAGGAACATGTTCCAGTTTGTTCCTGTAAAATTCAGCATCGCATTTATCAACTGTAAAGAGAAAAGTGTTTTCCAAAAACATATATATATATTTTTTTGGTGAAACATTGTCTCCTCAAATCACTGACCTTCAAGTCCAAGTCACGACCTGCAAGTCTCCAACTCTGGGAATTCAAACCGCCAACCTTAAAATCAGTGGACAAATGCTCTACCAACTGAGCCACTGTCACCCATAAAAGATTTCCCCAGTGCCAGTTAAAGATGATCACTGGATACAATCTGTTTAGTTTGGATCATTTTCTGTAGTTTGCAGAACATTTTAGTAGAGAGGAGGAAAAATCTAATTGAAGCTTGAATTTTTGGAGAAAAAACTCGCCCAGTTCAGAGTATATTTGACCATAATGTCATGTGATGTAATGTAATGTAAAGACGTGACCTTTAATTGAACTGTGGGAGTAATTTGTGGAGAGGAACAGGTACAGATCTGTGCAGGGCCTGACCCGTGCGTCCCAGGAGTGCACTAAAGTCTGTTTCCTGTAGCTGCACATGCTTACATGATTTAGCCACAGTGCTGACAGGGGCTGGGGCCGCCTCGCCTTAAACTTCATCATGTGTTTTCAATCAACAACAGCCCAGCCCAGAAGTTAATAAAATGAAATAACTTTGTGCTTGAGTCTGATTGAACAGAACAGATTACTTCCTGTTTACTAGAATGTCTTCAGATTCTTGTGAGCAATGAGGTGGCATATAACTGAAGAGTAATAATAAAAATAACAATAGAGAGATTAGAAATGATAGTAGACCGAGAGAGGGCTTCGTTAGAACTTCAGTGAATTCCAGGAAAGCTTGAGTTGTAACAAGAAGGCTTTCCGATTCCAACTAACTGCTGAAATAGAAATACTTACACCACTGGATAAGTGTATTTTCCAGACTATAAATCACTCCGGAGTATAAGTCACAGCCAAAAAATGCATTTAAAAATATATATAAATGGCGCACTTTTTGGGGGAAATGCATTTGATAAAATCAGAGACCAAGAACAGACATTTCAACTCTTCAGACTGTCGACCTCGGCTTGGAAGTGTGTAATCAGTTTTTGGGACCTGGTTGTCCGAGCTCTGGTAGAGGCAGTTGCGTTGCATGAAGGGGCCTTAGCAACAACCTGGGCCTGGAGTCGTAACTACACCGTGGACACGCCTCTCCTGGCAGCACGTTGTTCAAGCACCATTTGTGAACTTGTTCCTCTGGCTGTGTCTATCTTTTAGCGCACAATGAGCTTTTTTCTTTCTTCATTGCAGTTTGAGTATCCTCTGCTTTTCACCAGTCCCTCACAAGTTTCTCACTCACTCTAAACTTTCTTTCTGCTGCTCGATTACCGTTTTCGACTACATATTTCACGACTTGCAGCTTGTAATCTGCAGAGTATGATCTTGTTTTTGGGGGCATTGTGTCTTTCCTGGTTGTCTTTCTAAGTTGATGTTTAAATTTTTAATGTTCAGTGGTACAGGAGTAATAGGAGTAGCAGATCCTGGCACACAAGCCTAGAGAGCGGCTCAGTGTGAAAATAACCAACAAGTGAAAATATATGTTTGATTATATAAGTTGAACCTAGGGTATAAGAGGCAGGAAACACCCAAAACATGACAAAGTGCAACTTATAGTCTGAAAAAGATGGTAATTGCTGGACCATGTGCAGAGAACTAAACAGACACAGAGGGACTGTTTAGCTGATACACAGTCAGTGAGTACACAGGACTGGGCAATATGACAGAAAAATATATCCTTTTTTCAATTAGATTTAGTTTTCTTTAAAAGCAAGTCTCTCATCTCTGTTGTAAATAGGGCTAGGAATCATTCAGAAATTACTGATACGATATATATCTCGATACAGTAAGCTTTCAATGCAATATGATTCTTTAGGATATATTTCAAATTGATTCGATACAGTACAATAAAAAATAAAAGCTAAATCATGGCTGTGATACTAAAAGTCTTTGTGAAACCACTTCTTGTGCAAAGTTCATATGAAACACAAATGTCAAATGTGTCACATAAACGAGTTTCCTTCCTCTGAACAAACAACAAAACTGCAGCTGTAACAAAATAATTGAGTAAAATATACCAGAAAATACTGCCGATATATCGATACAGCAGACCATGATATCGATACTGTATCATCACATTAAATGATACGATATATCAATATTTCAATATTTTCACACAGCCCTAGTTGTAATGTTGTTTCCAATCAAAAACAGAGCTGGAGATGTGTTTTCTTTCATTCACACAAACCCTGCATATAAGTTCTTCTCTCAAGAAAAAAACATTCTGTTCCACCTTGTGATGTCATGTGTAAATACAGGAAGTGTTCAATCATCACATCTTCACTAGAATCATTTGGATCATTTCATCCCTTAAATGGCCAGTCTCGACTGAACTAAATGTAAAAGGAGCTGTTCACTTGAAAACTACTGCTTCATGACATCACAAGGTGGAACAGAATATTTTGAGCTTTGGGGATGTAATCATAAAGAATTACTCAAATATGTGTGAATGAAACAAAACACAACTTCAGATTCTTGAGGAGATAACAGCATTATAACATGATGGATGGATTCACAAGAATCTGTTTTGTGTAACATGGGACTTTAAAAAAAATACTAATAAAAGTACAAATGGTTTTCAGTATCAGTTTCCTGAAGGGCCCTGACAGTGGATCTGATGACTGCACTGAGACTTTTGGGTATTTTTTACTGCTCTCTGTGCTTAAATTGCCCTTCAGGATTGAATAAACTGATATTGATTGACTGATAAATGATACAGATTTTTAATAATTTCTTCCCCGAAAGTCTGAACTCTGCCCAACCCGTTTGTTTTCACTGACAGACAGTGTTGGGAAGGTTACTTTTAAAATGTATTCCCCTACAGATTACAAATTACATATCCCAAAATGTAATTTGTAACGTAATCCATTAAATTACTTAAAGTGAGTAACGTAATCTGAATACTTTGGATAACTTGATATTGTCATGTTTTTTAAAACTACATGAAAGTACCAACCACATCCTGAAAATTCTTGTTTGTTTCTTCAAATTGTCTGTTGAGCCCAAGTCTCCACGAACAGACTTTTGTTTACTGTAGAAAAGCAAAGACGAGGAAATCTTAACATAAGATATTTTGTCTGCTAAAAGACAAGAAAAAGCCCTGTCTTTCCTTAACCAGATTAAAAATATTATTGATAGAGAAATGTCCACCCATATTGTTTATTAATAAAAACAAAAAAACTTTCAGTACAAACATAAAGGTGCCAGCCCAGTAAAAATCAGTAATATTGGATGTTTTTTACTCAAAATGAGGCAGAATCAGGTTATTAACAACAACGACTATTAACAACCTCATCCACTGTGTGACTGACACCACCAGCGTTAACAAGACGTTCACTTGGCTCTTGTTCTGTTTGGGTTTCCGGCAATCAGTGGAATTACCGAAATAAAATAATTTTTAAAAATACGATATAGCTCAAAATGTGAAAACAGGAAAATACCACCATGTAATCCATTTATTTCAACAAAGTAACTGTAATCCAATTACCACTCACTGAAACAGTAACTGTAACTGAATACAGTTACTCATAATTTGTACTCTGATTACATAATGCAGGTACATGTAATCTGTTACTCCCCAACACTGCTGACAGAGGACTGGCTATAGGCCTCTCAGTTGATCGTTGAAGATCACAGGACTTCAATCTCTGTTCCAATTCAATTCATTTCTCAGCCTTAAGAACATGTGTGGCCCAGTTCTCATGGGAATCTTAATTGTTCCTCTAATGCAGGCCTCTCCAGCCTGTAGCTTGGGAGCCACCAGTAGCTCTCCACCTCCTTCCAAGTACCTCGCCAACAGATTTCTGAATTATAATTAAGTAAATTTGATGAATAGAATGACTATTAGAATTGTAAATTGTAGAAATTGTATCATTTCTAAGCCTAACTTCACCATCTGCTCTAATAAATGGATAATGGTGTATGTTTCTTGGGCCTCTACCTCTCTAACTGTTCGTATCTAAGGCCATGGCTCTTAAAATTACTCCATTTCTTGCAACCCATAAAATGAGGAGCTCTCTTGCATTTTGTTTTGTAAAGGAGCTCACCAGAGGAAAAAAGGTTGAAGACCCCTGCTCTACTGGAATGTATTGATTGAAATAGTCGTAGCAGAAAAATAGAACATTAAATGTCTTATGCACTACAGAGTCTTGTGAGCTTTGGGCCATGTTAGAATGTTGTTACCTCCTCAAAAACAGACCTGGAGCTGCATTTTGTCTGAGCAATCCTGCATCATTAGTCTGTCTGCATCTCCAAATGCTCTGTTCCACCTTGTCATGTCACAAAGTGGTGATTTTCAAATGAACAGCTGCCTTTAACCTTTAGGCCAGTAGAGATTAGAGATTTCAGGGAAGAAATCTGCAAAATTATCCTGGTGAAAGTGTATGGAGTTTAAAAACACAGTGGAGCTCTTAATGTATTACCACATGACATCACAAGGTGGAGTGTTTTCTACTTGAGAGAACTCAGCCAAAATCTGCACAATCTGAAACAAAACACATCTCCAGGTGTGTTTGTGAGAAGGACATTACATTAGGACACAGATGTGGGCTCTTGAACTTTCAGTGTTGCTGTTGTGAAGTGGCCTGAACAAAACATGTAAATGTTGTTGTTCTTGTACTGTTGGTAGCTGAGACCTTGCTCTTTCTGTAGCACCGCGGGGTGATGGGTTTGACCCTTTACTTCCCCTGCTCCCTGCTGCTTCCTTCCTGCAGCGATACATGCGCTTATGTGAGTTCAGCTTTAAAGAACACGACTACTGAGACCTTCACAAACTTCACACGGTAGAACTGACTCAAGGCTGTCAGTCCTGTCTTTGCTCTGCCAGTGAACATACAAGCAAGTTAGTGCCATGCTCTTACTGTTTTTAATTATGTGCAGGAATACTTTGTGTGTGAGGTCAAATATAATTGTCTCACAAACAGGGCCACATGTGCCTACAGCTGCTGCTGATGAAGTTCCCATGTTGACGGCTTCAAAATGCTCTTGTTGTTTGAGCCACATGCCTCTGGACTGAGCTCATCTCCACTTGTTGACTGTTCAGAGCTTGTTTATGGAGCTAATGTTGTAATAATGATAATATTAAGACAATAAGGTGAAAAATGTCAAGTCATGGGATAAAGAATAAAGCTCGTCTAAGACACTGGTCTAAACTGACAAAAGTAAAGACACTGGCCCAGAGCTCTGAGTCGGGGAAACTCTAACATCTGTCCTGGAAATACATCTGGATATACATGTCTGTATGTTCCCTCAAAATGAAGGATTTACTTGATTACATTTACTGACCTAATGAACACATGCAGACAAGTTTGACTTCAACTTCTGGAGAAATCATTTTGAAGAAAAAGTAAAGTAAGTGGATTATATTATTATTTTTAATCATATATTCCCTGTGAATACTGTAGTCTACACACTATTTTAAGCTTTGTTTAGGATATTGTATATAAGATATCCTTGAATATTGTTTATTTTACTACTGATTATGAATAGTATACCATCGTTACTATTGAAGAGACTACATCACATTTGCTTTACGCTTACTGCTGTTAAAAGGTCTACAAAGTACTATTTACATTAACAATACTGCAGTCTCCAACTTCACACATTTTCTAACACAACTAATTGTGAGTGAGCTGAAAATGAGCTCTTACCAGTGCTGGAGGAGATTATGAAGGTGATTCCTTCTGCTGGGGTAGAGGTGGTAAATATTCCAGAGCTGGGAGCTGGCTCCTCAGAGGAAGTGTACTCCTCACAATCCAAGGTGGAACTGAAGTGATAAAGAGCAACTGGAGCAGCTGACATCATCTGATCAACAAAAGGGGCAGGGCCTGAAAGTGTTTGGAAAAGGGGAGCAGGTGCTCTCAAACTTTTCACACTGAGTAGAAAGAAAATCTAAACCAGGTCTGAAATAGAGTTTTGACTTCAGAAGCTCTGGACCAAGAATTTTCCAAATCAAGTTTTCCAAATCAAACTCTGGACCTGCACTGGAAGCTTTTTCAAACCTGCTGTTGGTAGAACAAACTGACAAAGTGTGTTATTTACATTACACTGATATCTGCCAGGGACCAAATTCTTCAGATTTTTTTAAGAATCAGACATGCAAAGATTATATTAGAAACATTAAACAAGTTTTATAATGAATAGATGAATCTGCCAATTAAAAAGTGTGTTTCGTTTCTAAATTTGTTTACAATTTTATAATAGATTTTTTTAAGAATAAAAAATTAGCAGATTTAAAGGGATGGATATTTATTACTGGTATTGAGAAAAGTAAATAACTAAATGATTTTTAGACTTAGACTTTTAGATTAGACTTAGACAAACTTTATTGATCCATTTGGACACAGGAGTCACACATAACGATATAATATAATAACAAAGAGTAAAAATATAAATATATAAATGGTAATAATAAATTCTAAGTAAGTAGCAAAAAAGAGCAAGAGACAAGGCCAAATAAGACATACTTATATAAATGTAAATGTACAAGTCGAAATAAAATAGAGAAGCAACTAATAGAATATACAATCTCAGCTTTATTTAAGAAGATTTTTTTTTTTAAAGAAACACAATATTTGACTCTATTATCGTTATTTCACCCACCGTCTTGTCGCAAAATAAAAAAGTGAAGTGTGTGGGTTAGCGCGCCCTCTGCTGACGCCTTCACGTCCTGCAGATGGTGTTACCATGGTGACTGCAGCCCACTCTGCAGCACGCGCACAGCTCGTGTCTTTACTAGACCTGAAAAGACTAAGGCAAGAGAAAGGACGAGCTTTTTATGAAGAAAAGTTTTATTTTAATCTTCAGTTGTTTTCAGGTAAGTTTGATCCACTCGTCATTCAGTCTGCAGACTTTAAAATAACAACAAAACACGACGCACGATAAGAACTAGCTAATCTATCAAAAGCCCAAAAAATCCTCCACACTTTGACATTTTGCATCGACCTGCAGCTGTGGATTAGCTCAGTGGGACACTTAATTATAGTACTAGTACTGTGGACTTCTGGAACTACTTTTACTTAACTGTTTGCTTTTTTAATGTCCTGCCCAGCACCGAAAGTCCTCTGTCCTGTCAAGTGTCCTGTGAGATAATCAACAGCGTTATCTGCATGAAACTGTCAAATTCGTGTGTATACATGCACATCAGTATATTAGCCACATCCAGTGTTGGGAAGGTTATTTTTAAAATGTATTCTCCTACAGATTACAGATTACATACACCAAAATGTAGTTTGTAACGTAACCCAATAAATTACTTAAAGTGAGTAACATAATCTGAATACTTTGGATGACTTGTTTTGCAGTAGAGAAGCAAAGACGAGGAAATCTTCACATAAGACGTTTAGTTTGCTAAAAGAAAATAAAAAGCCCAGTCTTTCCTTAACCGATTTAAAAATATTATTGATAGAAAACAAGGAGACACGGTCCGCAGAGCATGGTCCTGTTAAATCCTGTTTTAGTCCTGTTTTAGTCCTGGTTTAGCCCAAAATGTAAAAACAGGAAAACACCGCCATGTAATCCATTTATTTCAGCAAAGTAACTGTAATCCAATTACCACTCATGGAAAGAGTAACTGTAACTGAATATACTTACTCATAATTTGTACTCTGATTACGTAACTCTGGTACATGTAATCAGTTACTCCCCAACACTGGCCATATCCCGGTTCTGTCAGTATTCGGGTTACTGCGTTTACATGCACCCTGAGAAACCGGGATACTCGTATTCGTGTATACAAGATTAAATAGAGTATCCCAGCTTCTTAACATAATCTTACAAATGCGCAAGCGCAAAAAAACTACTTAATTTAAGTTAATAAACCAGAAAAACTACAAACAACCATGAGCACCTTTAGCGTCGGAAGCTCGGGAGGTTTAACCAGCGGTACGGAGCTATGAGATATCCCACAATCCACTGCGCAGATCAAACCTAACGTGTAGATTTTTTATTAAAATATTCTGCATAAATAAACTCAGCTTTATAACCACATCAGCCCGTTTAATAATATAATTCAGCTTTGCCACATTTGTTTACGTTTTACTGAAACGAAACATGGCTAATTAGCATAAATAGCGCCGATAAAAAAGAGCTCGCTCCTTGTGCGCTGATGCAGATCAGCTTCTTTCGGAGTAAAGGACACAACTCAGTGAAATATGTGTGTTTTTTCTGTGACAGAGGAGTGGCTGATAATGGTAAATGTGTTCTATGAGTATATTGTATAGGAGATGTTTCATGTTTAACTTTTCAGTGGTCATACCTGTGCAGGTCATACGAATGCAGATTCGTGTTCAGGTTTAGCGCAGTCATTTCACTCATGTATGATCACTTTATTTATGTTGATCACTTTATTTATGTTGATCACTTTATTTATGTAGGTCACTTTATTTATGTCGGTCACTTTATTTATGTTGGTCACTTTATTTATGTTGCTACTGTTGTGGTGAAAAGACTGAAAAGTATTTGTCTTTTGGACGCATGCACACTCAACTTTGCAGTAATTAGGATACTGCGTTTACATGCCACAGTATCCCAGTTACTGTCGGAATACACCAGCTACAGTATCCTGGTTTCTTATACCCGGTTATGCCATAACCGGGATACTGAAACAGTATACATGCACCATGACGAAACCGGGATACTCAAAAAAACGATCATAACCGGGATACTCATGTGCATGTGTACGCACATATTATTGATTGTGTCGAGTTAAATTAATTTACAGAAAAATTCTAGGAGCACTTATAATATCAATAAGCTGCTTGCAGTTTGAAAGAGACAGTTTTCAATATGGTATGAATTAAGGATGTAACAATATTCAAATCTCTCGGCACAATATTATCATGATATGCATCTCACAGTACGATATTTATTGAGACATTTTGAAGAGGTTGATGTAATTGTAGGACACTTTTTTGCTTTTAAAATACCCTGACAAGATTTTAGTGTGAATTATTACTGTTATAATCCCAAGAATTCAAGTAAAAACACATATTTCTTTGCATCGTCTGTGCTGAAATGTATCATGGGATATGTTAATGAGATGTATTAAAACATTTATTTAAGCAAAGGAACTTGTAATTCAATATATTGTGACGCTTCACGGTATTATTGTGAGACTTTTGATATTTCAGTTATTGTTTCATTCCTTGTATGAATCCCACAACTGACCACAGGAAAGTAAATGTATAATTAAATGTCTTAAAATGGACAAATATTTTGGACAAAGTTTTTAATCATTTCCTTCAAAAATAGCAAAACTTTAAGAAAAGATAAATAATTGATTGTAAAATTTGCAAGTTTTGAAGTGTAATCTGTTCATTTGCTCTCGTCTGGATTTGAACCTGCAACTAGCTGGACTTTCTTGCCTTTTTTCTTCCCCCTCTTCTTATGCGGACAGATGTTCTCCAGCTTTGGTTCAGTTGGTCAAGAGTTTGTCCACTGATCTGAAGCTTGGTGGTTTGAATCCTACTCTCAACATAAAGATCATTGGTTGAGCATCAGATCCACTGACCCACAGGCTCCCACAGATGAATGCTGTCATTGTGTCCTTGGGCAAGACCCTTAACCCACCTCACCCACAGTGTGTGCGTACACTGGTGTATGAGAGCGTTGGTGAAAGGTGAATAGTTCCTTGTTGTAAAACGCTTTGAGCGTTGAAGGTGGAAAAGTGATAAATATAAAAATGTGACGATTTACCAAGAGCAAGGAACCTCGATGTGTAATAAATGCTGTAAGAATTTTGACTAAAGTGAAAATATGAACTTTATAGCTGCTGGAGCGTCGGTCTTGTTTATCAGTTTTAAAATACTGAGATCGACCCTGGCAAATACTGTATAGTGGAGGATAGCAGCAGATACAATACTGGTCAAAAGTCAAAAGAACACCACTTTTTTTCCAGTTTTTTACTGTTTATTGTTTACTGTTGACCAAAACATATTCTAAACTTTAGATTCATGTGTGTGTCCACCTTTGGCAGATAGAACAGCTGAACACACTCGTGGCTCGTTCATTTTACAATAGAAATCAAATATTGTTGAGAAAGTTCTTCCCAAGTCTGTTGTAGAAGTTTCATAAATGTGTGGCACTTGTAGGTTGCTTCACTCTTCTGTGCAGTTCATCCCAAACCAGCTCCGTTGGGTTTAAGTCTGGACACTGTGCTGCTGGAAACTCCAGGTTTTCAAGCTTTACCATCTTGTTCTTTTTTCCTCAGGTCGTTTTGGCAGAGCTTGGACTTGTGTTTTGTTCTTTTATCTTTTTTTTTTTTAACCTCTGTCTATTCAGTTCTTATCTTTGTGCCATTTCAAGCTCTTCACTGAACTTGCATGACTTGAATTACAATAAATAACTGGAACAATTAGGCTGTTCTAACTGGCTCTGTATATTGGCTGAAAAGATAATTATAATATGCTGTATAAAAAAATGTGACCATTTACCATAAAATGTCAAACTGAGGGTTCAAAAAGTGTTGTCAAAAGTGTTGTCTTTGCAGTGAGAACTTTTGTGTGCTGATAATAATTAAATAACATTGTACAGTTTATGTATTTAACGTGTGTTTCATCTATGTGTTTTTGGGACAGATTCAAATGTCGTTATTATTATATTATAGAGTGACCAGGACCACGATGAGGATGACTGGTCATCCGTTTTATATTGTGACATTCTAATGTGCTCACAGGATGTTGAAGAAAAGTGTGTGGAAGAAGTATGCTGGTGATGCAGTGAGCGTGCACCAGGAGCAGGCCCTGAGCACCACCATCCTCCTCCTGAAAACCTATGGACCCACGGGCTTCCTGCTCCGAGAGGAGGGACAGGACTCCGACTGCAAGGTCCTCTGCTCCTCCTGTCCACTGTGTAGTTTGACATTTTGATTTTATAGTGTGATTTTTGCTCATTTTGACAGGTGTTCTTGGGTCAACCACATTCCTGCACTTGTCCAGTCTTTCTGAGGGAGGGGGAGCCCTGCAAACATATCTGCTGGTACCACTCAGCTTTATTTATTTATTGAGCTTTGATGAGGTTCAGTGATGTTGTCTTTTCTTTTAGGATTTTATTAAAGAAGTTTCAGCTTCCCAAAGAGCACGAATGTAAGAATGTTTGAGATTTGAGAACAAATTGCATATACATATTCAAATGATACTGGGATAATCCTTAAGAAATGTGCTAAAAGTTCAAATGTTGCATACAACATAACTTTATGCCCCCATGACAAAGCACACATTTGTAAACTGCAGCCTTTGTTTGTTGTTTGACATTATAATAAATATCCTAATTTAGAAAACAACAAAAGCCTTTTCAACACTTTTGAAATATCTTGCAACTTGCTTCTTGATATAATTTTTTTTTAACTGATACTGGTAAGAATTAGAAGTGAAAAGTAGCACTTTTATAATACACGATGAGTCTTCCAATGCAATTTCATTGGAAGACTCATCGTGTATTATAAAGTTCAAATATACAGCACTACTGTATATTTGAACTGTATTTACCATATCGATCAGATGACCTTTTAAACAAGTTAAAGTGGACTAACCTTGGTCTTTTGGAGAACAGATAGTTTCCAGTGCGGTCTGAGTGAGCGGCAGATCTCAGAGGTGCTTCAAGGGTCTCACCAGACTCCTCAGCCCAGTCCCCCCGGAGCCTCTCCGCCTGCTGCTGCTGCTGCTGCTGCTGCAGGCTGGGTGCTTCGGAGAGACATCCAACCCCAGGATGTGTGCCCCATCTGCCAGGAGGAGCTGCTGGAGCGGAGGCAGCCTGTGGCCTATTGCCGGTACCTGTTACATACTATACATACTCTTCACATGTGCTGTGTCCGTTCATATCTGACATTTGCAATAACATTTCAATTCTTGTGATTAACATAATAAGCGTAATAATCACAATGTCAGTATGTGTTTACAGCACACTTGGATTGTTTACAGCTAAATATTAGTACACACTCTCTTGTACATTCACATTTACTTTGTCGTTCCAGGTTCAGTTGTGGTAATAACGTGCACATCTCATGCATGAAGGTGTGGGCGGATCATCGTCAGCACTCAGCCTCAGACTCGGGGATGGTGAAGTGTCCTCTGTGCAGGGAGGACTTCTGCTCAGTCCAGTCTCTGTGGGAGCAGGTGAAGAATGCAGCCCAGCTCCACACAGCAGCAGAGAGAGAGAGCCCAAACAAGCACTTAGGAGTGTCCTGTACTCACTGCAGGGTCACTCCCATCTCAGGGAAGTGCTTCAGGTAAGATGTTAAAGGAAACCACTGATTTTAGGAAATCTAATTCAAATGTAACAGTTCTATTATTATTAATCCCTATCACTTTATCCATACAGATGCACAGTTTGCACTCATGTATATTTCTGTGAGAGCTGCTCAGAGAAAGATTGCCACCTCCAGCATCAGTTAGCCGTCCGCTCAGTGAGTACTCATGTTGTGAACTAAAATAATTCACTTTAATTAAGCATAACAAAAAATTTTGTTCAGAACAATTCAAACTATATTACTGCAAATCAAAAAGTAAATACATTCAGCAGAATCCTAGCACCCATACTAGAGCTGGAGAAGTCCTGATATACAGTGCATATGAGTGTGTTCGTGGCTCTCATTGCTGTCACTATTTTAAACAGACAAGAAAAGAGGAGTGGTGCCTTATGTCCAAACACTCAAGAGAGGCTTCGTCTGTGAATGACCAGTATGTGCAACAGCTTGTCCTGTGATTTCCTTAACCCTGTGGTCAGTTCTTCACTTGTTTGTCTACTCTGTAGTGTCCTGGACGGGCCCCTGTCCTTGGCGCCTCTTCGAGACAGCGTGCTGGCTCAGGTGGCTATGGTGCAGGTGCGTGTGGGATCTCCACTGCTGCAGGACGGGGTACAGTGTCGGATGTGTCTGCAGACCTTCACCCTGGGAGAAACGCTCCGAGTGCTGCCCTGCCGCCACAAGGTCTCTCACTTTCAGCTCATAGGTTCTGTATTCTTGTCTAAATCTGTAGACAAAAACATTTACACATAGATGTTTTCAACTACATTAACTATATCAGTGACTACTCTGACCCCCGTCTCATTTCAACAGGGCTGACCTTTATGTTGTGATGCTTTCTGAATACAAAACACAACACTGACCAAAGCATTTACTTCTGTATCTTTCAGTTCCATGCTGGGTGCGTAGATGGGATCCTACAGACGACCCATGCCTGTCCTCTGGATGGGTTTGTCATCTACAACCCAGAGACACGGAGAGGCTCTGGAAAGAAGAGCAATTCCAAATTAGCATCCCCAAATACCAGACCTCATGCGAGCCAAACCGCTGGGACCAACCTCAAGGACCTCTTTGTGCCCGGTGTGGCTCTACAAGAGAAGAAGCATCAGACAGAGGTGCCTACAAACTCTTCAACTGTTAATGCTACCACCAGTCAAAAGTGTATGAAAAAGATAACCTCACCTCCAGTTCTGTGTGTCAGTGTCGGAGATAAACCTCAGCCCAGTCTCTACGTTGGTGCACTGAACCCAAAGCCCCAGAGCGGAGTGTCTGTGTGTAGGAGAGCAAGAATCCAGCCCAAAATAAGAAGCACAGTTGACAAAGAAGCCCCCTCCCAGCTCACAATGACAGGAGTCTTACTAACCCCACAAAGTCCCAAATGACACCTTGAGACCAGTGGAATGAAGCTGTCATCTCAGTACCATGTCAGTTGGTTGGGATCTTATGGCAAATCATTAATAAAAAATAATAAAAGAAATCAGAAAGCAGTTTTTTACACTTTGAAGTTGCTTCAGTGGGACACAAAATGTCCCCTGTCCCAGCACATTTATACAAACCCAGTTACTTGTCCCAGTTTTATGCAAGAAATGTCCCAGGTGTCCATATTTTTGACCAATCTGATCCTTGCCAACAGTAAAGAGAGACATAAACTGTCATTTGTTTAGGTAAAATACAGAAAAACTGCTTAAAAATTACCAAACACAAAGAAAATGTGACTATACTGACTCACATGGGCTGAGTGTGTAACAGTTTTCCTTAATTACGCACTCATTTCACAATTTTATTCTTACCAACCAATCCAGTCTGGGGGAGTGTTGTTGCTATAATGGCTGAAGTGACTTTTTTATGACATAAAAAATTCATAATAAATGAAAATAGGTGTGTTCTTTCTCTAATGTCGGGCACTGTGTGTTTTTTTGCTCTTTTTGAGACAATTTTTCACTTATGTAACTGTCTTTGGGATTGTGCTGACATTTGTCTTAATCGTGTCGTGCTTTGTGTAGTAAACATGGGGTAATGAGAATAATTAATACCTCATCCTTAATCCCTTAATACCTCGCTCCTGATTGGCAATCATAGGTCTCAAAAATATCAAACCTGTTTGAAATCCAGTCGGCTCTCATGAGGGTTTCGCTCAGTTCAAATCATTCCACGAGCTGTGAACTTTTAAACCCTTTGATTTGGTGGTGCAGTCTGAGCTGGGGCTGAGATGATTGAAAATATCACACAGTGTACGTCCGGCATAAATTCACTTTAGAGAGCATGCGCTGTACGTGATTTCAGACACTCATGATTTCAGTTCTATAATCTATCAGGATGACTTAGCACTTCCATAAAAAAATGACAAAATGACTCAAACATGCATAAGCAGTTTTATTAATGTAGCGCACAAAAGGCGAGACTAAGAACACTACTAATATTACAGAGGCTGAACAAAATGTGCGCTTTGTAAAGAAGTTCTTGAATTCTAAAGACTAAAAATCACATTAGAGAACACACATACAGTAAATGAGTACAAATACATTCAACAAGGTCACCATCAAACAGGAGTGACTTCCAAATGAACCTTCAAGATTACACCTAGCAACAAATGTTTTCAGAAGCGATATGAACAGGTAAGTGCTAATAAACTCTGCTACATGATGTTCTTTTGCATGTACTCTCCTGAAATGGACTGCAAAGCTTATGACGCTTTCACTTAGTCAGATCAGCATTTCAGTGGAACAGCTAAAAACAAAAAATCCAATCAAAGGTACAAAACAGCTTTTAATTACAATATACAGACAAATACAAAAATCAACCGCAAGATACAAGCTTACCCAGGTACACCCAGTACCACGATGGAAGACTATCGAGCACGAACCCTTTCATTTAAAGGAGACATGTGCTTCACTCTGGCTTCTTCAATTGTATTTCAATTCATTATTTTAGTTTATGAGCAACTATGTTTTTATTTTCATGGTGAAGGCTTAAGTGACCCCTGTGCCAAAGGGTGCATCTTGGGAAAAAAAAAGAAAAAAAAGAGCATTGCTATTGTCAACAACATGATGCAGACCATTTAAGAATTTAAGACAGCAGAAACACTTCCTGGTTTCAAATATGCACAGAGGTGAATCTGCATTTTCATCTGTCTAGAAAAAAAAAAGTCCAGTTAAGTCTTTTGAAAACATTAAGCATTATAACTTGATGTAATTTATAAAGTTGAGTGAAGAGAGCACTGTGTCTCCTTTAAAGTTGTGTGTGACAAATAGTATTGCTCCAGTGAAAGACGTTTTCTCTAGTGTAGGTGGCAGCTCAGGTTGAATGTGCTATTTGGTGGAGCAGTGGTCCCAGCTACGGGGCTGCACCATGGAAATAATGTTTGGCTGATATCATGTTTCTTTTGCTGCTTAATCACAGATATTTTTGGAAAAATGTTCAACTCCAATAAAAACTGTGAGTTTACCTCAGTTGAGAAAAGATGACACTTACAGCCGGCAGTGTTGTAGACCCAAGTTATTTTGTCATTCATTCAGATTTAAAATATGTACTAGTCTAAGTTTTTGTTTTAAACTAACCTCTAAACATACAAAGTCAAGATCATTTTCACAATCAGTAAGAACAAGTGGTTGTAAAAATACAAGGCACCAATACTGAAAACCTTATGAGGCATTGTTTTAAATAAATGATAAATAATTCTTTAGCAGCCTCAAAAACAACACGGTCATCTCTAATTTCTAACTAGAATTTGGTTGTGGTAAATCTGCTTTGATGCCCTGCTTGTCTTATGTACAAATATATGTCATTCCCTTGTGTTACTTTATAAAGACGACCTTTCGGAGATGTGCTAAACAGCAAGCGAATCAGAAGAAATAAAAGGTGACGTGTAAGAATCCTGTTGAAGATGGAAAGTTTTCCCTAAGTTCATGGACACATTCATTTCCATGCATTCTACTACTTTTCTCTCCTTTTTAGAGAAATATTTATGTCTAGAATAAATACTCAAGTCAAAGTACAAAGTACTTCAAAAAAATATGTCTGACGCAGTGGAAAGCAGAAGCCACTACACTGTGCATCTAGATCACAGCGGAGGAAAAAGCATTCATCTAATACTTCTTCTCTAATGCTGCTTCTGAAGGAAAAGAGCAGCAGGGCGGCGGCTGTAGAAAAGGCTCGGGCACTGTGGAGCAGGCATATCGTGGTACAGATAAGTGCACTACACACTGGCCCAGCTTTAGGGAGGGGGCCTGTGACCATCAGTAACGCTGGTGAACTTCATGGGAAAATGGTGCACACACTTAGATGGAACAGGTATTCTGCTCTGCCTTAGCCTCTGCATTCTTTGGTGAAGTAGTCACCATGGCTTGGTTTAGACTGACCTCTATTTCCTCACTCACTTTCTAAGAACCCTTGAGAAAGATCATTTAGAAGTCTTTTTTTTTTTTTTTTTAAATGAGCCAAAGTGATTCATGAAAGTTTTTAAAGTCTCACAAAGTGTGGCTGGCAGGGGGCTGAGTGTCCTAACTGCGTTTGTTGAGGGCCCGTGCCTCACGGACGTGTTTGGCCCCTCTCTTGTCACTCTTGGCCTTGTCCCTGACCTTCCTGAGGCGGCGTGGAGGTGGTGTCCCTCTGGACTCACTGTCCTCCTGAGCGCTGGACGTGTCCATGCCGTCCCTCTCCTCGGGGATGTTGGTGATGCTGCTGCTGTCCAGGATGTTCCTGAGGGAGGAGTCCTCGGGGGTGCAGGTTGTGGTGGTGCCGCTCTCACTGCTGCTCAGGTCCTGCTCGTCGCCATAGCGACCGCGGCCCAGGTGGGACAATGAGGAGGCTTTGACCGAGGGCCGGTGCTGGGGCTCGTTCATGTCCACCCCTGAGTCCAGGCTGGTGTCGTTGCTGCTGGGAGGGCGCGCTCGGCTTTGGAGCTCGATGATGGAGTGACGCACTTGTGCAGCGGGCCTTCCATCCAGGGACACAAACCAGGCCCTGGGGAGGGGCACTGACGTCTTGCCCCGCGTCAGCTCCAGGAGGGTTCGCTCTGAGATCCCCTGAAGTTCACTGTGGTCCCCGGGGCCTCCGCCAAAGGCCTCGTTCAGAGTCCCAGGCACTGACACCGATGACTCGAGCAGGTTGCTGTAGCGGCTCCACAGAACATTAGCATTAGGGCCAGTGCCGGACACAGGGACCTCCAGAGGCTGGGGGTCATCTTGGCTGCTCTGCTGGGGACTACCTCCTCCTTTGGGCAGGGTCTGGGTGTTGCTCTTGTTCTCTGCCTCATCCAGTCCGTTGCGGGGGAACGTGGCTGCCTTACAGCCCATGTCCTGGGCACCAAACAGCTCTGGAGCCTGGATGATGGCCACAGGCTGGTTGTACAGGTGGACCAGCTTATCCGGGAAGAAGTCTTCAGTGTTCATATTGGCCCGGTTCTGCTCGACCTTGTTCCGAAGCCGAGCCACCTCTTCACTGTTGATGTAGTGGGGTGGGGGCTGAGAGGGCTTGATGTTCTCATACAGGGAGGTTCCAGAGTGGCCTAGAGGCTCTTCCACATAGATGTTATAGTTGACCTTGTGCCTGGGGGTGCTGGAGGGGTCACAGGAAAGCAGGCCTTCCTCTAGGTGAGTGGAAGTGGTCTGGTCTTTCTTCACCACAGTCAGTTTGGAGAAGCGTGCTCTCCTCCGGGGCGCTCTGTTCGACCCTCTGGATAAGGAGCACAAAACAAACAATTCACTTTTACAGGATAAAGAAAACATTTAGCTTAATATAATAAAAGTACATTCTCCGTAACAGTTACAATAATGATTGTTTTTCACTTTTTAAAACATTCAAGTCCACGTTTGCAATCTCACCTGCAGTAACAAAGCAGCACAGACAGAAAACCAACCACTATGGCCAGAGTCCCAGCCAGTACCCCCATCAGGAGGTAAGTGTGCTGGGGGAGGAAGTCCAGGGAGCTACCTGCTCCAAGGTAATCTATACATGCAAAGGAAACTGTTGGTGATCATGTTGTCAACACTGTGTGAGGTAACAGACTGTCAAGGCAACAGTTAAATGTGAGGAGGCTGTATGATGAAACGTGTTCATACCATGTGAGGAGGGCAGAGGGGCAGCGAGCCAGTATCCCAGATGGGACGCTGTGTAGGTCCAGATCAGATCGGAGCCAGTGCTCTTCACGATCCCCAGACCCTGGTTCTCCCAGGCCCCTGTGTACAATTTCCCATGAGTCTTTGCGTCTCTTTGCGTCTGGTTGTCTGTAAGAGTTGTGATCTGCAGGAGGATTGTCACTCACCGGTCTTGCTGTTGAAGGCCCATGCAGGCACAGTGTCTGCGGCCCTCAGGCGGGTGTCAGGACCCAGGGGCAGGCTGATGTGGATAGGCCCTCGGATCTGGAGCTGCTCCTCTCCAGAGTAGAGCAGCACACTGACCGCGGCCACTGGCCTCAGGTCGAGGTTGCGCAGGGCTGTGTAAGCACACGGGAGCAGTGCAGTCAGCTCAACTCAAACATACACTGTCCATGAACACACACACACATTTTGCTGACTGACCTGATTTGCTGCTAATGACACCTGGTGTACAGTTGCTGCAGTCCTTGGCCAGAGGGCGCTGTGGGACTGTGAGATAAGCTGTCACTGAGGAGATGTTCGTGGAGTCAGAGAGGGAGAGGAGGTTTTTAGGGAACTTGACCCTCGGCTCTGATGAGCTGTCTGCACGATCAGAACAAAGAACCAAGGTAGTACAAGATGAGTCACTTTAAACAAGGATTTGTTCATGAATCATTGGGGGATGTCAGAACGTTCTAATTTGCTAGTTAAACACAAAAATATTTAAAGCTGTGTGCCACCTATAGAATAATATTTCCCCTTATCCCCTGTGAAATCATGACATTCTGTGGTGAGATCTCTTACCAGGTAACTTCCCTGTGATGAGAACTGAGTCTTCATACAGCCAGATGTTTCCTTGGCTCTGAGGCAGGAGCGCTAACGTCATCGCTGAGAACACTGACAAAAGAGAGAAAAATATATGTGTTAATCTAATACCAGAATCCCAGGCATTTAGCATAGTTTGACTTTAAACATCCTGCTGAGAGGATATTTTATTTGGAGTATTTCTTTACATAAATAATAACAACCACTGCAGTTTTCTGAGTTGGATTTGATTGCCTATTATTCATCAGTGCCCTTGTACTGCAGAGAAGTGATGCTGCCAGGAGGGGGCACTATCACCCAGAGCAGAGTGTGTTGTCTCTGGGTGACTGAAGAATACAAAAGGATGCTGATTTTGACACTGTTATGTGTCACATTGTCACGTCCTCTGAGTGTCACCAGTGTGGCTTTAACACAGAACTGACTGACACTGATTTAGTGCAGGGGACAGGATGGGACAATAGAGCTGGTGGCCCCCAGCGTTGCCCCTGGTTACAGAGAGGGCCCCACCCCCACGCCACACGCTCCAGGACAAAGGGAGAAAAAGGGGCGTTGTTTTTATAGACAATACAATAATTTTATAGTAACATCCATACCTGTAAATATGTACTGTGCTTCAGGAACAATCCACATAATGACTGGATGAGCTCCCAGACACAGATGAATAATTGATCATCATGAATAATACAGTAGGCTTTTTCAAAACTCTTTACATAAGCACATTTGGCTCAATTTGTCATATTTAAAAGTGTAACCGATATCTCCCCTGAACTAAAATAGAACATGACCTGAAACTGAACACTGGACGGTAGAACTTCAAGTACAGGGTGATTATTATTATTATGTTAGGTTATTATTATATGATATAATAGTATACTAAAGACATTTTTGAAGGAACAATATCTAGTTGAACTGTATTACAAAGGCTACTCAGATAAGGACACAAGTGTCTGTACAGCTACATGAGCATGTTTCTTTTCCAGTCATCTCAGAACAACTGAGCAATATGAAAAAGAAATGAATCTCATGTTTTCCTGTAATGTTTCTCAATCACGGCTTTCAATATGAAGTTTTCTTAATATAAACATTACATACTTTTAATCATTGCCATTTAGCACAAATAGTCAAATGTCTCACTCAGTCTGAACTCACACAGAGGATCTGCTGCAGGACACTAAAGACCTGAGCTGATCAATTAGAGATTAAGATGTGAATAATTGTACAGCCCTGCACAACACTGTGATTGTGTTAAACACAGTGTTGTACACTGAAAAAAACAACAACTATATTTATGTAAGTTAAAATGACTTAAATGAAGAACATTTGACTTTATTTGAGCAGATTCAACTTGACAAGTGAAATGATCCAACAGTGGAATAAGTGTGTTTTTTCTTCATTCAATTCAAGCAACATTAGATTTTGTTTCTTAATTTAAGTGGGAAAAGTTGTTGTTTTTCTTTTTTTTTTAAGTGTAGTAAGATGTATTTTCATATTTTAAGTACAAAAAGTCTTGTTCCACTGCAGAGCATTTTACTTGTCAAGTGAAGTTGACTCAAATCATGTTCAAACTTTTTAAATCAAGTCGTCTTAACTTGACTAGCTTTAGTTTTTTGCCGTGTATCTCTAGGAGAGCTGGAGATAAAGCGTACGTGGTCTGCGGGCGGAGCTCCAGGGCAGGGGCAGGGCAGGTACCCCTCCATGTGCCCCACCAGGGTCAGGCTCTCTGCAGGATTGTAGCTGACCCAGAGCAGGACGTCTCCTCTGGGGCCCGTCAGCACCGAGCTCCTCAGACTGTGGTTTACGTACACGTCCACTGAGGCCCCTGACAGAGGGGCCCGAGACACGCTGTCCCTCAGCAGGACCCGCAGGATAAACGGAGGTTCTGGACACAAAGAAAAGAAAAAGTTATTTGCAATAAATAAAAAATGAAAATAATCCAAAGGGCACATCACATTTGAATGTCACTCTGCACTCGGGTTAGTCCTGGAGATCAGGGGTTAAAGTGCTCAAACTCTGCAGTGACACTGAGGCTGACACATTCCCTCAGTAACTTTTCCTTGCAATGAAATAATCATAAGTCCAGACTGAAAAATACATCAAGGCTCTCAGAGATGACATGCACACCTCTAAAGATCTTTTTGTACCAATTAAACATTCCTTTTAAAGGCTGTTATATAATGAACTAGTCAGCCGCTCCTGGCCTTTGCTCGGACCTCAATGTTCTTTAGGCTTTGGACTTTTTCTAAAATCTGATATAAGCCGTCCAAATAATGTTAAGTTATCCTGTCTCTTCTTGTCTCTGCTCCCATCAGCGCCTCTGGCCTTGTTATGCTTAGAATAATTAATTAAAGCTAAATTCTTGAGTGGAGAGCACTAAATATAATTTATTTATGTCGTAGCCTAAATATAACATTTAAACATCTGAGTCTGTGACGAGTGTGTGGATATGACAAAAATTTATATATATTTTTAATGCCGAGATCACGGGTCTCCAAACTTTTTCCTCCGGTGAGCTCCTCTGTGAAACAAAAATACCAGAGAGCTGCTCATTTTAGTGGCCACAAGAAACTGAGACGATTATAAGACAGGGCGAAACATAAAACTGTCCATTTATGAGTGCACAAAGCTGGGCTTCAAAATGATGCATGAACAATAGTCATGAGCTTGTAATTAAGCACATTTTTATTATTCAGCACAATGATATTATTCAAAAATCTCTTGGCAAGTGACTGGGAAGGAGGTGGAGAGCTACTGGAAGCAGTTTGGAGAGCCCTGCTTTAGACCGTTTCTTTTGTTCTTCACAATGTCACAGACATTTCACAGATTTATAGTGTTTTTAATCGTTGTGCTTTTGTTTTGGAGAGTTGACACTTTACTGTGATTGGCTGATCCGCGCTGTCCATCACTCAGAGCATGACAGAGGCTGACAGGAGGGATGGTTGGGAAAAGGATTTGAGTTTAGAGCTTCACTAAACCAAAAAACTGAATGACTTTAGTCAGCACATGAAGCAGCCGCACAGAGCCAAGATGGTGCATGTGCTCCTCACCGTGCACAGCCCTGACCTCTGAGCTCAAACTGTGTGTCAGCACAAATGAACATGTGCAGGTAGCAGCAGGCTAATGCTGCGTGTCTGTTATTGATCCAATAAATCCATCTGTGGCCTGCAGTGCTCCTCTGCAAACATTACGTTTGTTTCACACAGTCCAGAAGAGCATTTAGGCTCAGACAGTAAATATTATGATGGTTCAGTTGTGTCAGGGCGAGGGCTTATGTAACAGGCCAACACCCCAACACCCTGTTTGAAAAGTCATGTCAAGTACTGGACGTGCTTCATCAGCAATAACATTTGAAAACATGTGCTTCGAAAAATGACTAACTGCTGACATGTGTTCAATTATTCACATTTGATTTTTCTCAACATACGAGGCAGACTACACTGGGGACACTATTTTGCTTTTGGTTTTCACACAAAAGAAAGTTATATTTTTGCATTTTTATCTAAATGATCAGTAAAAATGAGACAAAAACCTGAACAAACCCAAAGTTACTACATTAAAAATAAAAATAAATTCTCACTGATTCTGTATAAAATATGAATGTCTGTGTATAAAAGAGGTTGTTTTGTTGTTGCTGTTATTTCTTTTGATGGTGTAATGTCATTCTTGATTATTTCATGGAGGTCTTTATTTTTCCCAGAAGCATCACGGAACATCCTAAAGCTCCTGAACAAAACAAACGTCCTGAGGCTCGCGTCAGATCCTTTGTCCTTTTGCATGAACTGAACAATCATTCTGATTTATTGTGATCTTATTACATCACATCTGCAGCTCGTGAGTCAGCCCCGGCCTGTGCGCCTCCTGTTTGGATCCGGACCCCTAAACAAAGAGCCTCTCTGCGCCCGGAGCTCACCGCGCGCACGGCCCGGAGCCCCGCACACCTTACCCGCTGATGAAGCTTCTGTTGCGGCCGCGGCGAGCCCATTGTCCCCGGGAGAAGTCGAGTTCGCGTCCGTGTCAGAGGCCCCGAGACCCCCCGAACCCCCCAGGCCCCAGAGCAGCAGCAGCGGCAGCGTGCGCACGAAGGGTACCAGCAGTGACGGCGGCATGGCGACATAACGACCCCCCGGAAGGAGCTCGAAGGCGACTGGAGGTCCCCCAAAGTCCAAATGTTTAGATTCGGAGGTCCGGCGGTCAGCAGCAGGGAGGGTCCATCCCTGAGCGCGCAGTGATCGGGAGAACCCAGGACAGTGATGCTGAGGCTGGGCGTGTGCGCGCAGAGGGGGGCGGAGGAGGAGGATGTGTCACTCTGAATGAAGCGTGTTTGTGATGTCAGGCCCATTCTGTCTCACTCATTATGCACACAAGTCCTCTTTGTGGACTCCTGACCTTATGATGTTCTTTGGGTTTTTTATGATCAAACTGATTTTTTTAGTTGTTGTCTGGTTCCGTGTGGGTCATTATTAGAGTGAGCAGACGTCCCGATTTACCCAGGACAGTCCCAGTTTTGAACCTGTGTCCGCTGTCCCAGCACATTTCTACAAACCACTGATTTGTCCCAGTTTTATACAAGAAATGTCCCAGGTGTCCATATTTTGGACCAATCTGATCCTGCCAGCAGTAAAGAGACAAAAACTCTCATTTGTTTTAGGTAAAATACAGAAAAGCTGCTTGAAAATGACCAAAACACAAGGAAAATGTGACTAAACTGACACATTAGTCATGAATGGGCCAAGTGCAGAACAGTTTTCTTTAATTACGCTCTCATTTCACAATTTTATTATTCCCAACCACAAACCAAACAATTCACTTTTAACATAAAGACGTGTTGGATAAAATTATATTGAACTCGTTTTGGAAATTTGATTTGTGACTGAGTTGAAAGGCCTATTTAACTACAAGGGAACAAATAAAAGAATAGAAGAAAAGTCATTTGGATCTTTAGGTTTCACTTGTCTGGTGTTGTTCGTTCCAGGAGGATTTCTTGTTCTCTCTGGATGCAGTGTGTAGGAGTGAGACGTCTTCACTCCAGCCTATCTCTGCTCAGGGGGAGACTCTATTACATCACTGCGCCCCCTGGCGGTCACCCTGAACCCACTATCCATCCCCTCCTCCTCCTCCTCCTCCTCCTCCTCCTCCTCCTCCTCCTCCTCTGTCTGTCAGACCTGCTCCCCCATCCCTCCTCTCTCCTGCTCTGCTTTCCTCATCTCATCTCACTCCTCCCTTCTCTCCCAAAATACAAAAGAAAACAAAACAACAATAACAAAAATCCTTACGTTTTTTCATTCTCATTTTGCTCATTTTGTACGATCATTAACAATAAACTCGTGAGCCTTCTTTATCATTATTATGACTTTGTACGAGCAGAATACGGAACAATACAAAACACAATACAAGAAAAAGAAAGACATTGGGTTAAAATGATATTTAGTGTACATAGTTTGTCATTTATTTTACTATATGTAAATATTTGTAAAGTTCCATCATCAGTGTATAGAAGCAAACATATCATTTTGGAATTTTTGAAACTCTGTCATGAACAGGATGGGTTAGTGTAAGTTTTTTTCTTGTTCTTGCTCCTTCTCGGGAAATGTGCTTTTCTGTTGTTTATAATGTGCATGTAGTGTGTTTATGATTATTATTTCTCTCTCTCTCTTTCTCTTTTTTTTTTTTTTTTTTTTTTTTTTTTTTACATTACAGCCCCAATAAGTTAAATGTAGAGCACATCCCAAACCAAACACTCTTCACTTCTAAAACGCCACCACCAGAGGGCGCTGCACTCAAACTTAGTAGAACAAAAGGGCTATTTCTTACACATGCAAGCAGATCCTCAGTCAGTGTTGGGAAGATTACTTTTGAAATGTAATCCCCTACAGATTACATAGCTCAAAATGTAGTTTGTAACGTAACCCAATAAATTACTTAAAGTGAGTAACGTAATCTGAATACTTTGGATTACTTGATTTGCTGTAGAGAAGCAAAGACTACGATATAATGTAAGATGTTTTATCTGATAAAAGAAAATAAAAAGCCCAGACTTTACTCAACTGTATAAAAAATATTGATAGAAGACGAGGAGACACGTCCAAGCAGCATGATTTAGTCCTGTTAAATCCTGTTTTAGTCCTGGTTTAGACCTGGTTTAGATCTAGTTTAGACCTGGTTCAGTTTCCAGCAATGAGTGGAATTACTGAAAAAAAGAAAAAAAGGTGGGATATAGCCTAAAATGTGAAAACAGGAAAATACCACAGTGTAATCCATTTATTTCAACAAAGTAACTGTAATCCAATTACCACTCACTGAAACAGTAACTGTAACTGAATACAGTTACTCATAATTTGTACTCTGATTACATAACTCCGGTACATGTAATCTCTTACTCCCCAACACTGTCCTTAATAATCTAAATATATCCTCAGACTCAGTTTGATCAGATTTGTCTTTATTAGATGAACCCACATCAAGCATTAGAACTGTTCCTTGTACCAGTGGAACATTAATGCGAGCAGCTTTATTTATTAATAAAAAACTAAACAGTAAAACAATAAAACAATAAAACAATGTCAGGTATAGATTTATTAAAAATGCTATGTCATAAATACACAAATATCTTTTAAGCTATCCAAAATAAAAATAAAAATTCAACATTTTTTGGTAATACAGTGCGAGGTTTACTGTCTTGAATTGGGTAATATTATTCCAAATGTCCAATATAAATACATTTCAGCACCTATAGGAAACTTTAGTGCATCATATTCTTACAATATGCAATACTGATAATACTCCATTTGATTTATTTTAATATCACGATTAGTACAGTGTTGTTAAAGGTTTGATATAATGGTAAGAAATGACAAGGCACTGAGCAATGATGACTAAGAATACTTTTAATTTATGTATCACAATTGCTGTTGTGCAGTTGTGTAGAATAAATAGCAGTATTTCACTTTTCCATTGGCAGGTGGACTTAATATTGTATATAAATGTCACAACACAACCTCCTACAATACTGTGGTGTTAAAGGGAAATGGGGTAAACAGGGTAGAACAGTGCCATGCTGGTGTGGTTGAACGTTGCCACTACTTAGACATGATCAAATTCCATTTTTCTTTTGAAGATAAAAAGTCCAGTTGCTCTTTAAATGGCGTAGTCCCCGTACCCGCTGGGGCAGAATGCGCTGCTCCGAAGCGTGTCCAGACAGTTGACCAGTATGAGCGTCCCGGTCAGGTGTCTCCATTTGCGGGTGATGGGGTTCCTCATGCGGTCCAGGCCCGTGTGGAGCTCTTGTATCACGTCCCTGTAACTGTCCCCGATTTGAGCTGCCCACGTCAGCAGGAAGTCGTACGCCGGCTTCCACATGGACTAAGGACACAAACACTAATATTATTCTCCTGTTGGATCAAATCACATTATTTCAGCATGCTCAAAGTTTCTTGACTATTTTAAAATTTGAATCTAGGTCGATCACATTTTCAAATTCCACTGGTAAATCATTTTGCTTGACATTTGTACAATAGGCTCTATTCACGCTGACGTCACAAACCAGGAAGATTTTTGGAAACATGTGATGACAACTTCTGTTCCAAATTCCAAATGAAGACTGCAGACGTATGTTCTGTTTGGAATCATCTAGAATTTGTCACCTCATCTTTTCTAATCACATGTACCAGTGCACTCGGAGTTGTGTGTCAGTGGGGAAATGATGAAAACTGAGGTCTGCTTGGAATTGTTGATGAGCCGAACATAACGGAACTCTACAATGACATGGAGAAAAACTGGGACTTTTTCTAATTTTTCCTAAATTTTGTCAGATTGACCATATTTTTCAGACTATAAATCACTCTTTTTTCATGGTTTGGGTGTTTCTTGCGCCTTATTCTTCAGTGTGAAAATGTTGAGAGTGAAGCTGTGAGAGTTTCTAGTCTTGTGTGTGAGTATCTGCTGCTCCTGTTCCTCCTGCACCACTGTCACTTCACTCTACTGCACATGTCTCCTGCAGAAAGAGCCTCTGTTCTGTCTGTCGCATGTAGGTCGATCGCACCATTACTTCTGCACCACTGAAGAATTTCACATTTAAACAAACTTATAAAGAGGACTGAGAAGACTGAACACAAAAAGAAAATTCATATGCAGATTACAAACTCCAAGTCATGAAATCTGCAGCTGAAAATAGAAATCGAGCAGCAAAAAGAAAGTTTGAGTGAGAGAGAAACTTGTGACACCGGGAGGATGCACCATGAAACTTTCCTGAAGTCACTGGATGGACAAAGTCTGGACTTCAGTGACACTGAAACCATCCTGTCGGGATTCAGAAAGACCCAAATAATTCTAACTGGAACTGACGACAGCTACACAGAAGAGGAAGCGGTGCTCTGTTTACCTCCGGAGGTCGAGGCCGAGTTGTTCAGAAGTGACACCGAGGATGAAGAATTGAATGGATTTAGTGATTTGGAGTGAGATGGAGAGTTTGGTTAAACTTGTTCTGTTCTGTTGTTTATGTTATAGTTTATCTGAAGAACTGTGAAATATGTGACGTTAACAAATCCGTGTATCATTCGTTCATTCGTTTTTCAATATAAAACCAAAAATAAGAAAACGAAAAAACAACAGTCTCCAAAACCAAAATGATAAAACGGACAACGATTCGTTTTTTTCAGTTTTCGATTTTGTGTTTAAATGAAGAATGGAAAAAACGGATAACGGCCAGAGCGGGACTGAGACCGGGACAGAGCTGCTCTGGTCCTCCGCGCTCAAGAACCGCGGCTGGTTCCGAGGTGGTGCAAAGCCTCCGACTGACGGATTCACACCAATGAAAATGAATCGAAATAAGAGCTTTTGGTTCAAATGGACCTGGTCCGGGACCAGACCGGGACCAAAGCGCTACTGAGACTAGGACCAGACCAGGACCAGAGTGGGCCTGAGACCGAGACAAGACCAGGACCAGACCAGGACCAGACCGGAGGCTCAGAGCCCACGGCAGGGCCGGAGCTCGAAGCTGAGGCTCGGACCCCGTGGAGGCTCAGAGTCAAAGCTCGGAGTCCACCCTGGTCCCGCTCTGGTCCCGGTCTGGTCCCGGTCTCAGTCCCGCTCTGGTCTCGGTCTGGTCTCGGACCTGGATCCGTCCTGATTCAGTCCGTATGCGGTGCAAAAGTCCGGCATCGCAGTCACGGAAGTCACGTAAACGGGAAACGGCCGTTATCCGTTTTTTCCATTCTTCATTTAAACACAAAATCTAAAACTGAAAAAACTAATCGTTATCCGTTTTTTCATTTTGGTTTTGGAGACAAATAACGAAGAAAACTGTTGTTTTTTCGTTTTCTTATTTTTGGTTTTATATTGAAACACAAATGAACGAATGATACACGGATTTTAACAGTCTGTTGTTCTCTCTTCTATTGTAATTACTACAACTTGACTTTTAAGATGAAATGTCTGTTCTCTGATTTTATAAAATAATTTTCCCAAAAAAGTGTGACTTAGTCTGGTGTGACTTATATATGTTTTTTTCTTCTTCATTACACATTTTTTGGGTGGCGTGAGTTATAGTCGGAAAATACGGTACTATCATGAACAGAGCGCGCCGGAAGTTGTCATCACGTTTCTTCCTGGTTTGTGATATAAGCGTGACTAGAGCCTATACACCCAAACTAATTAAAGATACTCTAAGCTTCAGATTTCAAAACATTGTAGCAACTACAGCTAATCTGTTTAAATGAGTGTTGAAAATGTGCTCCAGTCCCACCTCACTGTCCAGTTGTCCGTTCTTGTCCCGGTGCGGAGCCTCGTACGCGTCCATCTGCTGCCTGGACACTCGGGCCAGTTTGTCAGCGAGCTCTCTCCAGCGGCACGCCACCTCCACCGCAGCAGTCAACAACACAAAGTCTAACACCAATCTGGCAACCAGGCCCTGGCAGTCCATCTTCAACAAGGCCTAAATAACAAACAATTCATGAATCGTATTAGACACAAAAACACACAGACTAAATTAGAACATTTTAGATTTTATATTAACTCATGCAACAATGCACACAAAGCTCTTATTTCTAGCCAATATTAGAGTGACCAGATTTTCAAATTCAAAACTGGGACACACCCAGATTGGGATGTTTGGTCACGATCTGACAGAGTTCTGTCACTGCTTTTTTTTTTTTTTTTTTGCTTTATGGTCGTTCACAAACACAGACTTTTGCTCTTCTTGATTGTTGGCAGGGATCGGATTGGTCAAAAATTGTGATAGTTCTATTGTAGTCCTGGTTTAGACCTGATGTAGTCCTAGTTTAGTCTTAGTTTAGTCCTGGTTTAGACCTGATGTAGTCCTGGTTTAGTCCTAGTTTAGTCCTGGTTTAGTCTTTGTTTAGTCCTGGTTTAGTCCTGGTTTAGTCTTAGTTTAGTCCTGGTTTAGTTTTAGTTTAGTCCTGGTTTAGTCTTAGTTTAGTCCTGGTTTAGTTTTAGTTTAGTCCTGGTTTAGTCTTAGTTTAGTCCTGGTTCAGACCTGATGTAGTCCTGGTTCATTCATTGTTTAGTCCTGGTTTAGTTTTAGTTTAGTTCTGGTTTAGATCAAATCACCTGGTACAGGTAAAAGTGCTTTTGTATAAATCTGGGGACATGGGGCTCAAAACTGGGACTACCCTGGGTAAACAGGGACGTCTGGTCAGTCAAGCTAATATGCTACTAAAGAATTCCACATACACAGTCCCGTCCACAGTTTAGAGCAGCTGTCGTGTTTTACATAACAGGTGAATTGTGTTCCTGGAAGGAGGCTGACACCACCTGCTCCATTACGATCCCTCATGTTTATTTCATTTCTCGCTCCTATGGTCATTGATGAGTCTTTTACACAGGCGACCAGGACAGGCTCGATGAAAACAACACTCACAGCTGCTTCTGTTGTTCACAAGTTTGAAAATGATGTGACAAAATTTTATTTTATTATCAGGTTGTCAAAAAACAGTTTTTACACCAAATTCCCTTCTTGTTGGAACTAGCTAGGTTGATCTTCTCCTTGTGAGCAGTGATGTTTTGCCCATGGACACAACAACAGCTTGCTCATGGAGGAAAGATTAGAAGCACTGACTTTGGTTGTTAGGCAAAAGCACATCTTATCTTAACCCTGCACTAAACATTCTGATATTTGAACTAGATTGTATTTTTCATCTTGACTATAAGTGAAGATTATAATTAATGTTGTGGTTGAGACAGCACTAAACGAGACGAGACGAAACGAGAAATATGATCTCACCTGTCAAGTGTCAGACCTCGAGTCCGAGACAAGACTGAGTCCAAATGCGCTCAAGTCCGAGACGAGACCAAGACCATAATAAAGCGGTCTTGAGGCCGGTCTCTGGACCAAGACTGCTCTTGAGTACTACAACACTAATTACAATACATTCTTTATTGTGAAATGAAAGTTCTTATTATTATTATCTCCATCAAACCGGTTCGTCTCCTGTACATGACGTCTGTGGTCTGTGCGGTGACACTTGTTACTTTCTTTTACAGACACACTCTGAGCTCCGCCGGGGTCAGGGGTCACACAACAGGTCACTTAACTATAGAGCTCAGCTGCACCCGTGCTTTAAGTTTAGAGTAAAGGTCACGGCTTCTACTTGACTGTATTCTACTGAATTACAACAAATCAGACATAAATGAACAATACAAAAGAAAAAAAAAAAGGCTGCTGGACCTTACATTTATATTAACTCAACGCTCAAGACGACAGGCTAGAGGAGTGCAGTGATGTAACTGTGACTGTGTGAGAGAGTGTGCAGTGTGTGTTGTAGTTGTTGTTGAGCGGGGGTGGGGGTAGGGGGTGTGTATAAGCGTGTAGTGTTGTGTGTATATAAGTGTGTAGTGTTGTGTGTATATAAGTGTGTAGTGTTGTGTGTATAAGTGTGTAGTGTTGTGTGTATAAGTGTGTAGTGTTGTGTGTGTATGTGTGTAGTGTTGTGTGTATAAGTGTGTAGTGTTGTGTGTGTATGTGTGCAGTGTTGTGTGAATAAGTGTGTAGTGTTGTGTGTGTGTGTGTAGTGTGTGTGTATGTGTGTAGTGTGTGTGTGTGTGTATGTGTTGTGTGTGTGTGTAGTGTAGTGTTGTGTGTATAAGTGTGTAGTGTTGTGTGTGTATGTGTGTAGTGTTGTGTGTATAAGTGTGTAGTGTTGTGTGTGTATGTGTGTGTGTAGTGTTGTGTGTATAAGTGTGTAGTGTTGTGTGTGTATGTGTGTATGTGTTGTGTGTAAGTGTGTAGTGTGTTGTGTGTGTAATGTGTGTAGTGTTGTGTGTATAAGTGTGTAGTGTTGTGTGTGTATGTGTGTAGTGTTGTGTGTATAAGTGTGTAGTGTTGTGTGTGTATGTGTGTAGTGTTGTGTGTGTATAAGTGTGTAGTGTTGTGTGTGTATGTGTGTAGTGTTGTGTGTATAAGTGTGTAGTGTTGTGTGTATAAGTGTGTAGTGTTGTGTGTGTATGTGTGTAGTGTTGTGTGTATAAGTGTGTAGTGTTGTGTGTGTATGTGTGTAGTGTTGTGTGTATAAGTGTGTAGTGTTGTGTGTGTATGTGTGTAGTGTTGTGTGTATAAGTGTGTAGTGTTGTGTGTATAGTGTGTTGTTTGTGTGTAAGTGTGTAGTGTTGTGGTGTATAGTGTGTAGTGTGTGTGTGTGTAGTGTGTGTGTGTGTAGTGTTGTGTGTATAAGTGTGTAGTGTTGTGTGTGTGTGTGTGTAGTGTTGTGTGTATAAGTGTGTGTAGTGTTGTGTGTATAAGTGTGTGTAGTGTTGTGTGTGTATGTGTGTGTAGTGTTGTGTGTATAAGTGTGTAGTGTTGTGTGTGTATGTGTGTAGTGTTGTGTGTATAAGTGTGTAGTGTTGTGTGTGTGTTGTGTGTAAGTGTTGTGTGTATAAGTGTGTGTGTGTTGTGTGTATTAGTGTGTAGTGTTGTGTGTATAAGTGTGTAGTGTTGTGTGTGTATGTGTGTAGTGTTGTGTGTATAAGTGTGTAGTGTTGTGTGTAAGTGTAGTGTTGTGTGTATGTGTGTGTAGTGTTGTGTGTATAAGTGTGTAGTGTTGTGTGTATGTGTGTAGTGTTGTGTGTATAAGTGTGTAGTGTTGTAGGTGCAGTGTGCAGACGGAGCTGACAGTTGAGTGAGGGGCTGTCACACTCACAAGCCTCTATTCAAATAGAACAACAGGAGACAGACACTCTGGACACACAGCTGATGCCACTGCACAACACACACAACACTACACACTTATACACACAACACTACAAATTTATACACACAACACTACAAACTTATACACACAACACTACAAACTTATACACACAACACTACAAACTTATACACACAACACTACAAATTTATACACACAACACTACACACTTATACACACAACACTACAAACTTATACACACAACACTACACACTTATACACACAACACTACACTTATACACACAACACTACACACTTGTACACACAACACAACACACTTGTACACACAACACAACACACTTATACACACAACACTACACACTTATACACACAACACTACACACTTATACACACAACACTACACACTTATACACACAACACTACACACTTATACACACACACTTACAAACTTATACACACAACACTACACACTTATACACACACATACACAACACTTATACACACAACACTACACACTTATACACACAACACTACAACACTTATACACACACAACACTTATACACACACTTATACACACAACACTACACTTATACACACACACACAACACTACACACTTATACACACAACACTACACACTTATACACACAACACTACACACTTATACACACAACACTACACACTTATACACACAACACTACACACTTATACACACAACACTACACACTTTACACACACAACACTACACACTTATACACACAACACTACACACTTATACACACAACACTACACACTTATACACACAACACTACACACTTATACACACAACACTACACACTTATACACACACACACACACTTATACACACAACACTACACTTATACACACAACACTACACACTTATACACACAACACTACACTTATACACACAACACTACACTATACACACACACACATACACACACACTACACGCTTATACACACACACACTATACACACAACACTACACTTATACACACACACTACACACTTATACACACAACACTACACACTTATACACACAACACTACACACTTATACACACAACACTACACACTTATACACACACAACACTACACACTTATACACACAACACTTACAAACTTATACACACAACACTACACTTATACACACAACACTACACACTTATACACACAACACTACACACTTATACACACAACACAACACACTTATACACACAACACTTACAAACTTATACACACAACACTACACTTATACACATAACACTACACACTTATACACACAACACTACACACTTATACACACAACACTTACAAACTTATACACACAACACTACACAACACAATAACACACACACTTATACACACAACACTACACACTTATACACACAACACTACACACTTATACACACAACACAACACACTTATACACACAGCACTACACACTTATACACTCACAACACTACACACATATACACTACACACTTCTCTCACACGTACAACACAAATAATGAGCTTCATAACGTTCATTGTGCTTTGACATAACTGGTAAAATCTTGTGATATCACTCTGTTATAACTGCGTCGCAAAATGTGGCCGCGTCAAAGGCCAATTTCATCAAGTCCACACATTCACACAAGTTCAAATGTATTGCCCAAGGACACAACATCAGTATAAGAATGCACCGATACCACATACATTATCATTTTTGTACTTGCCGATACTGAGTACCGATACTTTAAGCCCCACCCCCATGAACATTCAATGGCAATAAATGGAAATGCAGATTTTATTTTAACTCTCTGATGCTTCATGTGGAGAATAACGTGGTGACGAGTAAACGCCTCATCCTCTACTGGGCTGTCAAACTTAAAAGGGAGATTGGGCAGACGCTGATACTCCGTCATGAAGCTTATTGACTCGATGTCATGAACCACTGACCTAACGTGAGTTTTCAGCATCGAACACTTTAGGCAACATCACATCTGTGATGAAATGACGTCTGGGCAGCTCGTGTCTGGGCTCTAGAACATCTACAAGACGCTCAAACACAATATCTTCAATGACTGAAAGTGACTCGTCCAGCTCAGTGTAGTGGGTAAGTGCCTCAGTTATTTTTGTTGCTCGAGTCTTCTTGAAAACTTTGTTAAAGTTGTCTGTTGATGGGTGGTGCTGCTGTGGTGAACTCGGCGTACGTATCTCTGTGCTATGTCTTCAAATGTTTGATTCAAGTGCTTTAACAAATGTTAAGTACAAGTATATTAAGGAAGTATCGGGCCAAGACCCCGATACCAGTTTCAGTATCGGTGCATCCCTACATCAGTATGTCCTGTAGATGGATTCAAATTGCCAATCTGCTATTAGTCTGTAAAAAAAAACTAAAAACTATTTCTGAAATATTAATGTCTTTCACATTCTGTCCTTGAATTTCTGATTAAAGTGGTGAAAATCAACAATAAAGTTTTGCTCCGTGCCTCCCTCTCCCTCCCAGCTCTCTGTCATTCTACACTCTCTTTATAAATGCTACAAATGCCCAAAATACAACGTGTATTTCCTTTTGTACTAATACTGCAGCGCTCAAATATCCGTCCCCTCGCTGTTCTGCCCTCTCCCCTCCTGTGTTGGTGGATGTATTATTGAAGCCCCCCTGCGCGAGCCCCTGCCCTCCCTCTTCTCTGAAGCTCTCATAGCTCTCATGTGTCCACACTGGTAACCTGAGCCTCAGCTTTAGAACCTCCAGCAGGGCGGTGTCATGTGCCTGCGGGCGTCCAGCCCAGCCTCCCCGGGCTGCTCACCTTTCACATGGGAAAGCCACTCCAACAGGCCCTCTTATCAAAATCACTCTGGACTGGCTCATCAACTTGCCACTGAATATGAATGTCACTGTACTATTTTCTAAACTCCTGTTCTCTCATGATATGTTTATTATTAACACATGTAAGCAATATTTTATCAATAGCCACTCATAAATAAACTTTTTTATTAAAATGTTTCACATTCTTGTGTTTGTTTGTTTGTTTGTAACTTGGTCTGAAAAAAGTTTAATTCCTGCAAAACTGCTTCTTGTGTAAACATGTTCACAATAAGCAGATTGTCTTTAAAGGCACTTGAAGATTACTGCAGATATTTCTTCCAAGAGAGAGGGCTACAGAGAGGGTATAAAAAAGGGAGAATAATGCCTGCCTTGTCTCCTAATGATGCTGTGTTTGGATTAAACCTGCCCTGGATATAGAGTTTAAAAACGATTACATAATTGTTCCTCTTACTTTTGGTAATGCCTGGGTCACTTATTGTGCTCTGTAACAACACGCAGCGGCTTTATAAACCACACCAGACTATGCATCTTAAGTATACTCAGAAAAGACTAATTCTTTCATTTAGCAGAGGACGGCCTTTGCTCCCCACAGGTCCAGGGATGAGCTGTCTCAACAAGAAAATGACTGTCTGTCTGCAGCTCTACCAGGATTTAGAAATAACTCATAAAGATCGGTGTTTTCAGAGGTGTCTAATGGAAAGATGGCTGCATGGGGCCTTTCAGCTTTTATTGTGTTATTGCAGTATGCCTCTACTTTTTCTCTACACAACACTCCTGTGGTGCTGTTCATACTGTGAGCCAGCCAAGGCTAAACCCAAGCGAATGCAGTTTCAGTGTATTTCTGTATTGATTGAAGAGGAGTCTAAGAGCAGCAGAGGTCACCACATATTATAGCAATTTCGCCAAACCAACATCTGTCCTTGTAACAACCTTGTGCAGCAGTGTGTTACTTTTCAAATTAGTTTTTTTCGGTTCTAGTTCCTGACTAAAAGCAACAAATATTTAATTCTATTGCCATCAAGTTGCATTGTTTGACTCACCATCATAAGCTCTCTCTGGAAGGACTTCCTCTCCTTGCTGTCCATGTTGGTACACTCCTCCTTCAGCTTCTCTAGGACAGACGCCACCTTCTCTGGCTCACTGTCCAACTCAGCCCGACAAAAATAATGTAGCGGTAGGTTCCCATATCCTAGTGCATCCGCAAAGGCCTTCCAATTGGCCACATTCTCCATCAAAACCGTCCTCACTGAAGCGTATATGTAGGTAAGGAACTTGCAAGGCTTCAGGATCTGCTCTAGTAAAAGTGTGGTGGTTAGATCTGGCCCAGTCCAGTGAATAGGCTTCACTTTTCCAAGAACTAGTACATTCTTTGCGTGAACAAGCCCAATCTTTCCTTGATAATATCCGATGTACCACTCCTTCGTCCGCATATGTCCTCTTAGTTTGATTTTCTCCTCACTAAGCAATGCAACAATGTCTCCCTTTTTGTATTCCAATAAGTAGGTGCTCTTGTGCTGCCTGACAACAGTCTTAATTAATTTGCCGAATTTCAAATTGGTAATACAGCGATCTTGGAATTTGGGGAACTTGGATGTGACTGCGAGAGGTGAAAGGACAATTTTATCCACCTCTTTTTTCTTCAAGAATCTCCTAGCAGCTGTGTTCCTTGACGCAGTCGTAGGTGGTGGTTGCGGGGTTTGGACACAAAACTGGGTTAGAATACAATCCAATGTATCCTTGACCTGGACTCTTAGGGTAAAATCAAAAATACTGCTGGGATCTAGAGCGGAGATCCTGTAGAGAAGCCGGTTAACTTTTCCAAGTTTCACCTGGAATCCTTGGATGACACCAGCCCCCTCTGCTGACTTCACTTGGTAGTTGGACATGTTGGAGTACAGTCCAACCTTAAGGTCTTGAGGGTACCCAAGAACAAACTGATGTTTACCCCATAGCTGCAGAGAGACAGGTGGCGCTGAGCATGCCTGGCGACCAACCTCATTCACTAGCAAATTTTTAGGTGTACAGTCATGTCCGAACATCGCTACTACTATCCTAAAAGTTGGATGGATGTGTTTAGGTCCATACAATCCTAGAGTTACTTTCCTTTGTACATGGTCCCAGACAGTTGAATTTGGTCTAATATTTACTGATCGGACCACCACTGCCACATATATGCAAGGTTCTAAACTGTCTAGTTGGACTTGGACGGTATCATTGTAGATGTAAGCGTTGGGGATCGGAGTATAAGGTCCTTCCTTGCAGTCGCTCCTGACACAAACCACCCTTGCTTCATGATTGCTGCTGTTTTTAATGGAAACTGATACTTTAATTTCCAGGGTGATAAATGACTTGATCTCCATATTGCTGAGCTTAAGCTCTACAACAGGACTGACAGTGGAGCAGTGGTCACCATTCAGCTCCAAGGGTGGATCTAGCAAGGCCTTCATTGAAATCTGCTGGTAGTCTCCCAAACTTATGTGACCTTCCGGAATGTGGACACTGATATTGGTGTCTGGAAGTTGAACGACCCCACCATTACTATCAAGCCTGCACACAATATTGGTTTCTACAGGTTGTGTTTGACCCCAACCAGGACTTTGACCCAAAGAATCAAGGTCATGGCAAGACCTGGCTAATTTTCTGTGATTCAACCAAGCAGTCCTGAAGTCCTCCCGACTCTGAAACTGTTCTGGTAAAGGTGCTTTGAGACCAGTGAAGAATCCGGAAGATGGTAGAGATGGATTGGAGTGTGCCTGCAAGACGGAAAGTTCTGAAAGACTGTGGGATCGCTTACTCCGCAAAAAAGGGTTATTTCTGTTGAAATCGGATGAGATGTCTTGGGTTGGACTTGTGACAGGTGTGCTGGTGTAGTGACTGTGGTTAAATCCATTTGGAACTGTGCAGGTGTTAAAGCTAGAAATGCTCGATGGAGGGTTCTCAAATAAAATAAGATCAGTAGAGTTCCTATTACCTTTGCCACGTTGATCCATTTGGCTTTTGAAGGGATTTATGGAGAAAGGACTGCAAATGGCTGCAGGTTTCAGAGTTACACCATTGGTCCATTCACCAAACTCCTTCAAACCTTCGTCATTGTCTTCTCCAAAACCATCGATCATGCCACTGTCACTGAGGGTTGAACTTCGAAAGTGAACGGGCTGTACATAGGTTGCTGGGATGTAGCCCATTTCTGTGTTGTTGTGGGCGTACCACCACTCTCCACCTGAAGTGTCCAGCACATACAGTCGGTCGCCTTTGGAGAACTTTAGTGTGGTGAAGCTGCTGGGGCAGTAATCCTTTATGGCAACTACTTCCTGTACAGCTCCCAGGGTCGAAGAAGTGTCAAGCCTTAAGGCACTTGGAGAAGGCACTGAAAAAGACAGGACACAGAGCTCTTCATTTAGCAGCTCAATGTTTTACTAAATAAATAAATACATTATTGCTCTGGTAAATTAAATACCAGTTGTCTATGAGAATGTCTAAAGGCCGCACACCACAGACATGAGGAGAATCTTATGAGACTTAAAATCTCCAATCTCAAAGACTGTAGAGTGATCTGTCTACGGACCACAGGATATAAAGTTGTGAGTGTGATCGTGTCAGCTGTAAAATGTGATGCAATACTTCAGACACATGATTTTTAAAGCATAAAAGATTGGAGATAATGGCCACAGGATGTAGACTCACTGCAGCTTCACCTCGGTCCGTGCACTGTGTGGATATAAACTGACACAAGTGAGGAACTACTCTCATCTTTTTACTATTAAACAATGCCTCAAACTGGATTAATCACCAGGTTTTGTGAAAAATGTGTCACAAATTCTATGGATAATGTGGATGAGAAGCTGCACTTTAAATTTACCACGTTACGAGAGGTGAGGAATAAAGTCTAATTATAATTTTTGCGTTGCTGATGTTTGGTGATTATGATCTGACAGAGCAGCTCAGAGTCACAGTGACACCACACACACGAGGAGCGCAGAGGCTTCAAAATCACACACTAAGACATCAAGTCAGTTTATGTCTCCCTAAACTCAAAGAAGCAAATCACAGCCAAAATCGGTCAAATTCTCCTGTAGTGTTGCGGCCTTCAGACTGTTTATACGCTATATTGGCTTGGTGAGTGCACTCTCCACTCAGGGCTCAATCAATATGCCCAATTTAGCCAAGATTCAAACTATTTTAAAATAAACTCTCTGTTGTGCTTGGAGATCCGTGGAACTGGGGCAAAACTCTCTCATAGTTAACAGAGGACTACATGTAAAGTCATGAGCACACCTTTGACATTGTTGAGGCTGGCGCTGCTGACCCCTTCATTCACGTCGGTGAGGGTCCCTTCAGACTTGCAGCGTGGCAGGACGTGGCTGTTGTTGGTCGCTCTGATGATCCGATTGGCAGCCATGTCTCCGGATGCACCAGCGGAGTTTTGCAGCTGGCCAATCTAGATAGAAAAAAGCAAGAAAATGTTTAATCATAGTCTTAAGGTGATTTTTGTTTATCCTCCCATTTATTTGCACCTAAACCAATGACATGTACATCACAAGGAAAGGGCATCTAGCAGAAACCTTCACAGCTAAGAAATGCTGTGTTAACCTGAGAAAAGAAAAGATAAAGAATGCAAAAATGAAATAGGATGACCTTTGCAGCTTCAATCCATCATATTCTTAGTACTTATTACTTTTAATGCTGCCAGATATAAAAATTACTGTACCAGCTACTTTTATTGTGAGTCGAGGCTGAATTTGCCATTGAAAATATAGTGTCAGCAGAGGCTTTAATCTGATTCGAAATGTAGTGCAGAGCAAACTCTTCCTTAGCCCTCCGTAGATGTATTATTAGTCCAAAATGAGGGGAGAGTGGTGCTACATTTGCACATTAAAGGCCCAAGAGCGCTCAGGGTGGCTGGGTAAAAGCTTCACTCATTATCTGTGTTAGAGCTGTCCTCCAAGAGATGAATGTACTGGAGAATGATTTATATGCACGGTTTTATCTAGTGTTTCATGATGAGGCTAAGTCTAATTAGCTTGAATCAGACCAGCGGCCGTGTTTGAACCTCAAGTACTTCCTGTTGGACAAGAGTGGCATTATACTGTATACAGCAAATTTAAATTGTGATTAGACTTACTGACCCAAATATATTGCCCAAATTATGTATTTTTTTGGCCAATACGACTTTTGTCTTGCTGCTATGGCCCATAAATTTCACAAAACCTTTTTCAGTACTGGACTAGACGACCAGACGTCCCTGTTTACCCAAGACAGTCCCAAGTTTTGAGCCTGTGTCCCCTGTTCCAGCAGATTTATAAAAAACACTGATTTGTCCCAGTTTTATACAAGAAATGTCCCAGGTGTCCAGATTTTTGACCAATCTGATCCTTTCCAACAGCAAAGAGAGACATAAATTTGTCATTTGTTTAGGTAAAATACAGAAAAACTGCTTAAAAATTATCAAAACACAAAGAAAATGTGACTATACTGACTCACATTAGTGCTAAGTACAGAACACTTTTCCTTAATTACACTCTTATTTCACAATTTTATGACTAACAACTAGGGGTGTGCCAAAATATCAAAATATCATATTGTTAACATGTGATGATACAGTATCGATATTGTGGGCTGCTGTATCGATATATCACCAAGAGTATTTTTTGGTAAATTTTACTAAACTACTCGTTTATGCGACACATTTGACATTTTCATTGTTTTGATGATTAAAATGTTTGTATTTCAAATTAACTTTGCTGATTTAGCCTTTATTTTTTTATTGAACCATATAGAATCAATTTGAAATATATTGTATAGAATCAAAAGTGCACTGTATCAAGATATGTATTGTATCATGGTCTGTGTATCGAGACATGTATCATATCAGCAACTTCTTAATTATACCCCCAGTCCTACTACAGTCCTACTACAGTCCTACTACAGTCCTACTACCAACCCAAATCAGGGATGTCCCACTTTTTGTTTTTTAAAATCTGGTCACCCTAGACTGGATCCATGATACATGAAAATAAAAATTGTACCTAGAGATATTGGCACTGATATACTGTCTATGCTTAAGTAATAATGATATTTCATTTCTTGTGATTATAGACATCATGATAGCTGATGTGGCGAAACAATTCTAAGATGTAACATGTTGTGAAGCCACAGTCAGTAAATGTGAAAAGAAAAAGAGCAAAGTCAGTTAAGGTCCATTCGAGAGGGAACAGCTGAAAAGACTCTGGTGCTGATTCATTGGTGATATATTTTTTGTGAAAGCCTGTCTTTGATTTCTGTGCGGTTCTCTTCAGTATCAGTACAATACAGCACAGCTGAATGCGTTTATCAAGCCGAGGCAGGGACTGGCTCCCATCAATACCAGGCTCCACACTCCGCTTTGATCTGTCACCAAGGAGACTCCCGATAAGTCCAGCAGGAAGAGGCCACACGGGAGCCACACAAAACAACCAACACAGCTTCTACTAAAGGGTATTGTAGCATTATAAAGCCTATAAAGCCCGACGCGATAAGATTTGAAGATTTTATTTGTACCTGGTGCATGCTGGTGCCAGAAGAATCCACAATAAATCAAGGTTCAATCTACTGAACATAACAAACCTTTTCTGTGTGGCATTTTGAACATTTCAGTCTGACTGGATAAATTACTGCCTCCTTCTGAAAAGGATCTGAGGAAACAGGGTTTTCCAAGTTTCATTAGCCTGGAGCTGACTAATCCCTGGATACAGTTGTCTATCAGAGCTACCTCAGATGACACATGTTTACCCACAGCTTTAGTCTTTCCAGCTCAAATGAGAGGATTTCAGTCTGAAATAGCAAGAATGTGCCAAAAAAGTGAAAGGTTAGGTGTCCATTATAGAATTGGCATTTCATGAGTTGTGTTTTCCTCTTCTGGTTCCTCAGGGTTATGGTTAGATAATTACCAGTGCTGGGTATCGTTAAGAAGTTGCTGATACGATACACAGGCCATGATACATATCTAGATTCAGAGAGCTTTCGATTCAATACGATATATTTCAAACCAATTAGCTACGGTTCAATAAAAAATAAAAGCTACATCATGTCAAATTTTTGTTAAACCACTTCTTGTGCAAAGTTCATATGAAACACAAATACTTTAATCATCAAAACAATGAAAATGTCAAATGTGTTGCATGCACCACAAAAAATAAATTCTAGTCAATTTAAGGTGATTTGAATTTAAAAAGTTTTTTAGAAAGAATAAGATTTTTGTACTTAAAATATGAAAATACATCTTGCTACAGTTAAAATAAGAAAAACAACAACTCTTTGCCCTTAAAATAAGAAAAGAAATTGAATGTTGCTTTGAATTTAAAAAAAAAACATACTTATTCCATTGGTAAAATTGACTCAAATAAAGTCTTAATTTAAGTCATTTTAACTAACAGATATAACTTTATGCAGTGTGAACCAGTTTCCTTCCTTTAAACAAGCAACAAAACTGTAGCTGTAACAAAATAATCTTGTAAAATAAACCAAAAAATATTCTTGGTGATATATCGATACAGCAGCCCACGATATCAATACTGTATCATCACGTTAAACGATACGATATATCAGTATTTCAGTGTTTTTGCACAGCCCTAATAATTACAGAAAAAAAACTAAAAAACATTAGTGATTAAAAAACACTTTTGTCACAAGGAATATGAATAGATTCAGAAAACGTAAACAAAATCATTAAGAATGGTTGAGTGGCGGAGAGTTTGACGTGTGTCCCTGCGTGTCCCTGCGTGTCCCCTGCTCTCGTCCCAAAGTGATTCATGTGTGAAATGTCCCTATCTCTCCACAGAGCCGCCCGCAGGGGATCCACAATAAATGGAGCTGATAAGAGCACAGTTTAGCACTGCTGCTTCCACCTTTTCATTCTTCTCCCGCAAAAATCTAGAGGAATAACCGTACCTCATGATGAAACAAGACAAACATAGCACATTTGAATTTTTGTAATGTGCCAAAATGATCTGAACTTGTCGGTAAAGGTGTGTGTCTAATCATTTTTTAAGGATTTGCGTATTTTTTTAAAGTGTATTTCCTGATTCAGATTAATAGTTTACAAAATTAGAAACCAAATACTTGCAAATATGTGATCTTCTAGTTTGTGTAGTTTGTAGAATGAGATTCCATCAGTCCTTCAATGAGCTGACCTTAAAGAAGATTCTTTGAATAACTTGCCGCAGTGCACTTTAGTCAGTTGTATTTTGGGAGCTCAGTAGACGCTTCACTAGGCACAAGAATTGGCAGCTGACTTAGTCCACTTCCTCTGAACTCAAGCCACTTCTAAATGAATGTTGGGGTTACTTGAGTAAAAGATTTGTTGACTTTAATTAGTTTAGCAGCCGCTGTGTGTGTGTGTCTGTGTGTATGTGCGTGCGCGTGTGTGTGTGTGATGCATGGATGACCAGTGGACAGAGTTGTCTGGGTGAAGTGAACAGTCACGTTTATGTGGAATGTTGTTTTAACTCATGTTTCTGTTAAACCAGACCTGGGCATTGTCCACATACAGCCCTTTGCTCGACTCTGACCGGCCTGTTTAAGATCATTTGGAATTACAAAATAAACATATTTTATCATTTGACCTCATGCCTAGACTAACGCTGCATTGCTTTTATGATAGAGTTTGTTTGTTTGTTTGTTTTTTTTTTAATTTTTTGTTCGGCAGGATCACTTCGTCATTGTGCTTAGTCTTATCATAAGCTCTTCCCAGTCTGAGCAGCTCGTCAAAACAATGATATGTTCTAGGGATGTAACGATATCCAAATCTCTCCGTACAATATTTTCTGCACAGTATTTATTGCAATATTTAGTGGAAACGAAGACAACTGTGAATAATACTTTTTTTTATTTTAAAATGCCCTCACAAGCCCTTGGTTCTGTCATAATCCATAGAAGTAACATTTAAAAGTGCTCTTAACAGTTATTTCTTCATGTTGACTGGACTGAAACAGAGCAAAGGATCATGGTCTATGTAGTCCCCTCTGTTTTTTAGCTTTTGTTGTACCATAATTATTCATTTAAGCAAAGAGACTTATAATTCGACATATTGTGATGACCCACGATCTTACTTTGACGATACAATATCACGATATTTCAGTTGTTGTTACATCCTTACTATTTACTGCTTTTTGTAAAGAAATACAATTAATATTAAGCAGAATTGAGTTAAGCAATTTGCCCTCAACAACATTTTCTGTTTCTCATGTGGCCGCATGGAAAAAAGAATTGCTCACACCAGTGTTAAATCGATTAAATGTTACAGAAAGTGTTGAAAATAAAAATTTGTCTCCATCTCTAAACCATCTTTAACCTTGAATAGCTTGTGAACACAGCGTAAAACAGGATTCTCAATACAACGTGACGTTACAGGAACAATTGTAAAGTGGAGAGGGTTGTGTAGAGGTGAAGTGACGTCAGGCGCAGTACGAGTGTGTGGTACTTGTCTGTGAGGGGGCGAGAGGGATTGAGCTAATCAGATGACCTTATTGGCTCAGGGGAAAAGCAGACACAAGCCTGAGTGTGACAAGAGAGCGCACATAACTGCCAAACACTTCCACAGAGACTTAAAGGTCCACTGCTTCTGTTGGAACTCTCCACAGAGCTGAGCTGTAATGTGGCAGGTGGCGAACCCTCCAGTGGACCTTTAACAGCGAGCACAATATCTAAATAATCTAGTGGTAAAATACTGACCAGAACAGACTGACTAAACATCAAAAAAGTGCAAAAAAGAAAAAGCTTGATCATTGCAACCGACAGAGAGAAAACGTATCTTTAAGTGGAGTAAAGTTTGTGTTAATAACCTAGATTTACCAAACAAAATGAAGTTATCTTTGGATCTGATCTGAAAGTCTATCAATAATGTAGAAGGACAAAAGTGCACGGTTGCTTCTGTGATGTACATTCATTTGGACGGCAACAGCCAACAGGTGCACTCCAGACTAGATCACACGGAAAACCTCTATCTCCCACCACAATGCACTTTTACATCACAAGTCTGCATTAAAGTTTAACACAGCTATTTTTACTGGGACAAAGGAGGGTCGACTAAACCGCCAATAGAACAGTCTGTTCAGTGTGGAACCATGTGCACCTTCAGAACAAAAAACTTTATAAAATAATGTACAAATAAATCTAAATGAGGGTTTATGGGTTAACAGCTTGCATTTCTTCTTTAGATCAACTATGTCACTACTAATGTTACTTGAAGTAGTTGTAAGTAGAGCTGCTCCATTATGGAAAAAATCATGATCACGATTATTTTGAAATTACGATTATTCAAATGATTATTTCTTAGTTACACATTTATTCAGAATTTCTCTCTCTCAAAAAAAAAAAAAAAAAAAAAACCCAAACAAACACTTTGTTATTGGTAATTTAAGCAAAACTTTCAAATTGAAAGTAAATATAAGCTACAAATAGGAACCTTAGAGCAGCTTTGCGATGTATAAAACATAAAAAGAATAAATTAAACTTTGAACATGAAATGTTGTGTCCAAAATAAACTATATATCCAGCTGTTCTCTATATTTAAAACATAAAATAAATATATGTATTTATAGTTTTAAAAATCCCAATATAAACTTTGTTAAGTTTTAATTGTTTCAACTCGACTGGGACTGAACCAGGACTGAACCAGGACTGAACCAGGACCAAACTAGGACTGAAACTGGACTAAACCAGGACTAAACTAGAACTAAACCAGGACTGAACCAGGACTGAACTAGGTATCAACTAGGACTAAAGCTAGATTAAAACAAGACTAAACCAGATCTAAACCAGGACTAAACCAGGACTGAACCAGGACTAAACCAGGACTGAACCAGGACTAAACTAGATCTAAACCAGGACTGAACCAGGACTTGTTTCAACTCGATTATATGAGTGTGGAGATCGTTTGACACAAAAATCGAAATCGCGATCAGAGTTCAATTAAAGGACGGGAGCCAATCGAACAATCTAAAAGAAACACTAAACGCACGTGGGCCTGGAGTACAGACTGATTTCTATTCCCTTTTGCTCAAAGTTGTAGAATAATAACATTTGTACATGTCCTACTTTTGTCAAATGTACACATTGGTTTAGACTGACACACAAAAACAACAGGAGCAGAATTCTATTTCAGTGTAAAGTTCACAGATGTAAACTTGCGCTCAGAATGTTTGACATGGTGTGTGTGTGTGTGTGTGCGTGTGCGTGTGCGTGTGTGTGTGTGTGTGTGTGTGTGTGTGTGTGTGTGTGTGTGTGTGTGTGTGTGTGTGTGGTGCGTGAGCCTCTTTGACTCCGTCCCCCGGTGTTGATCGTGCGTAACCCCGGTAACACTCACACACTGCCCCGCTGCTGTCGCCCTGTCCGCGGGAGCCTGCGTGGATGTGGACCGCTACTTCTCCCCCCGCTGCCCTTTTCCCAGCAAACTTCAGCGTCTCACGCCAAAGATACACGTTCAATCAACACGTAGCGTCCAACCCGCTGCGCCCGGGTTCGGCACGATTCCCGCGGGACACGAAATGCGCAGAAAACGTCTGTCCGTGCGCTCCTCCGGTCACACTGCGGTCGGAGACTGGACTGGAGCAGAGACTGTGGACTGGACTGATGGGAAGAGAGGGGGGCGGGCAGTGCAGGTGTCACGTGACGCACAGGGGCGGAGCATACACTGTTTTTGTTTTCATAGTTTTCTGTTTTTTGGGGGGGTTTTTTGGCTTTGGCACGTTTATCTTCCGAAAAATTACATTTGCAAAAGAACTCACAAACAATCCTAAACTAGAGTGACCACATTTTCAAAATAAAAAACTGGGACATCCCCGGTTTTTGGAGGTTGGTAATAATAAAAATATGAAACGAGTGCGTAAAACTGTTCTGCAGAGACTATTCATGACTAACACGTGAGTCACTATAGTCATATTTTCTTTGTGTTTTGGTGATTTTTAAGCTTTTTTTTTTTTTTTTTTTTTTTTGTATTTTACCTAAACAAATGTCAATGTCTGCCTCTCTACTGTTGTCAGGGATCGGATTGGTCCAAAATAGGGACACCTGGGACATTTCTTGTATAAAACTGGGACAAATCACTGGTTTTGTGTAAATCTGCTGGGACAAGAGACACAGACTCAAAACTGGGAGTGTCCCGGGTAAATAAGGACGTCTGGGCACCTTATTCTAAACACATTTTTTGTTTTTCTGAACAAAATGTTATCTCAGAAAAATGTAGTTTCTCATTCAAAACTAATCAATAATTCTCCTGAAGACATGTTTTACCATCCAAACTGTGGAGTTTCTTTATTTCTGAGATTTTTTTTTTTTATTTTGAAGACTTTTTCTCAAAATTAAACTCAAAATCAAGTCATTTTTATTTTTATGCCACATTTAAAGGGATGATTCAGAGTCATTTCAGCCTCGGGTCCTTTACGCCAGGACATCGGCATCTGTAGACAACTGCTGCTGGAGAACAGGTTGGGTGTAACTGATGAACAAACTGGGACAAATGGGGACAAAATCTGATGCAAACTGATGATGAAGGAAATGTGGGAATATAGGGCCTAATTTTGAAAAAAATAAAAATAAAAAAATTAGAAATGAGGGAGAATAGGGCTGAGGTAATATAGACACGCTCCCAAAACTGTCAGACTGTGGTCATGTTTTTCTGTGCTTGTTCGTTCATTTGCCAGAGCAGGTCAGAAGCATGTTCTTCTGTGATCACACACATTCAGTGGTTTAGTGCAACTTGAACACACAGTCTGTGAGTCTGACACTGGGTTCATACTTTACACACTCTAAATGTTGACTGAAAATGCTTGGCTTTCTTGTCTAAATCTGTCTGTATTGTATTGTATGTTTGGGAACTACTTTGAACTGATGAGAAATGTTCCAGATAATCAACCACACGTGGCCCTGTTCAGACGCATGTTTGAATCAAATGATCGAACCAAACCAAGTTTCAAAAAATGTGCTCAAATTATTGAAAAAAATTACGCTTTCCCACAGAAACTGAGAGCTCAGATTTAAATATATTAAATCTATGCCAGGGGTGTCAAACTCATTTTGGTCCGGGGGCCGTATCCAAACTACTTTGATCCCAAAGGGGCCGGATCAGAAAACTCATGTCATATAAACCCCAAAAATAACAATAATTTCAAATATTTTTGCAGAGAAACTCAAATATATTACAGAAATCTTTTTTAATTGATGAACTCTTTCTTTTACAAAATATTATAATATTATGAACAACCTGAAACTTGAAGAAAAATACAATTTCAACACA